TCAGGCTCGCTGACTTGGTTGACACATGTCATCGGTTCCCAATTGCGCAGATCGATGCTCATGCTGTTGATCACTGGATTGTCTGGTCCAGACTCGATTATTTACAGACCGCCGCCATATAGCTTGAATATTGGAGTGCGGCGTAAAACGTAACTCACTCACTCATACGAAAGTTAGTATCTTCAAGATCACAAGAAAAAAATACGAAAATAAAACGGATTTGGGTTCAGTTTGTGTGTCGTAACATGTGCCTATTTTAGCCAAATGTTCTGATTCAGCATTCTGGAAATAACATCATTCAATTCGAATAGACGAAATGGATTTTCTCATGTTTTGAATGAAATTGATCCCAATCCCATCAACGCAGCAAAAATTCGTTCCCTGATCCAAGTACTTTCTCAGACAGTATAGCTTTTGACGTCATTCATGATCTTTGGCATTGATACGAGTTCAGTTTTCAGACTGACACGCGTTGTGTTTTGTTGTTTTGTGCTAATGTAGTGTTATGAAACATGTTCCAAAACCTACACGTCAAATAATCATACCATATTGAGTTCAAATAACATGCTATAATCGGATGTAAGTAATATGAGTAGAGTATTATGAACGCTCATAGTGTACCTATATCAGCAGATTGTCTCAAGGGATGACCATTGTAATGTCTAGTGCCGTCTGTGGTGGGTGGGAAATCGATATAAGTGTGGCCAGAAATGTCTACCAACTACATGATACTGCATTAATGATAGGAAGAACAGTTAAACCTTCCTCTCTGTTTGTATTAATAACAGATGGAAATACACCCTCACCTTTGACGGGGATATGTGGGACTCGGATAATGCCATTAACGAGGAAGACAGTTATTGTTATTCGCCAAGATGCTGCTCTCTTGTTCAATGGGCGCTGCTGACGCCGAGTGGGTCACGCCGAAGACACTGATTCGACCGTTTACGTTTCTAGAATTGGTAAACCATTATGAAACCAGTCTTTGTAATATATTGGAATATTGCCACTGGGAGGGAAAGCTGTATTTATTCGTGCTGTAATAAGATTTGAGACATTGCCATTTTAATGAGGGTCGTTTTACATTACGTCACGGTGTGTCGTGAGGAAACGCCAACGTTATTGAACCAGCTGACGTTCACACGGGGTGGAGGGTGGTGGTGGGGTGGGTGGAGGAGGGTGTTGGTGGGGTGGAGGGTAATGTTATGTTAGTTTGTTGTTTAACGCCGCACTCAGCAATATTCTTATGTATGGCGGCGGTCTGTAAATAATCGAATCAGGACCAGACAATCCAGTTGGTTTTTATGTAACAGTATGCTGATAGATAATGAACCAGAGGTTGTCTTATTTTTCACTGCCCTCCTCATATCCTTGTGCATGTATACTTGATTCACAACATTCCCCGAAAAGATAAACTGCATAAGCACTTTGTTTTAAATTGGAAAATGTATATTTTTCATGACCTCACAAGTACCAAATGTCCTCATTAGCCTATCGGAATGATTAAGTGAGTGAGTATGGTTTTACGCCGCTTTTAGCAATATTACACTAATATCACGACGGGGGACACCAAATATTGGCTTCACGCATTATACCATTGGGCAATCGAGCCCGGGCCTTCGGCGTGACGAGTGAACGGTTTAACCCCTTGGCTACCCCACCGCCCCTTATGTCATGTATAGGTGCGACACAATGTTGTCCTGTAACGGAATATGAATACAATTAGCCCCACATGTACATATATGACGATCATATACGTTAAAACAATATGTTGCCTTTTATTCCCGATGGAATCTGTCGGATACTAGTAATCGAGACCAGTTATTCTCTAGCGCTGACGTTTTATTTATAAATTGTGACATACTGATCGCTAATTTATTTATCAATGTCGCGGTGTATGAATAAATGTTAGAATAATATAGCTTCTGTCCCCAGGGTATTAAACCAAGAACTGAAATAGAAGACGCGGAGTTTTTATCGATAACCCTCGTCCGGAAGATTAAGCTAAAGAAGTCAGCATCCATCTCCTTCCCTTGATCGGATGTGGAAATCCCAAACAAGCTGGACCATCGAACGCATGCCTCCATATCGGAAACGCCGTTCCGCGATCTCGCCTACTGTGAAGAAAAACGACTGGGAAACGAGACCCACCGATTGATGGGTTCGCCGTACTTTGCCTCATGTAGCGAGGGTTGATTGTATGCATTATGTTATGCACATGAAAAAATCGTTCATATTTCAAAGAGATGTTTTAGAAGACGCAAGCGCTAGTGAGACGCACGAGCTCTTTGTAAAGAACTTTGCAAAGCATTCCAGTTAATCGAGTGTAGGTATAAAAAAACGATCGGGATAAATACGATATCAGAACACGCTTCACTGACAAACTTAATTGGACTTAGACATACATGAAATAAATTCGTTTTTATGGAGTCTTTCTTCAGAAACTTTTTACACCTTCTGTGTGTAACTGACATTGTATGACTTGCGACGGGAACAGCTCCCCATATTTCCAATGCTGGTCGTGGAACTGGTTTGCTGTCAGTCTGACTATCGATTACGGGCCATCGTAACTCGACTTCATGTTATCGGTCATTGGTTTCCTTGGTCCGGATGTGTACGTCGATTTAAACGTGTTGAAACACATAGTTATTTGTTTAGCAACTTCGTTCCACTTGCTCCGTAGACAATCATACGTCTGAAACCACTCCACTCCACAACGCTCCGCACCACTCCACTTCTCTCTGCTCCGCTCCGCACCGCTCCTCTCCATCCCGCTCCATCCCACCCCACTCCGCTCCACCCGCTCCGCTTCTCTCCTCTCCGCTCCGCTCCTCTCCACTCCACACCGCTCCTCTCCACCCCGCTCCACTACTCTCCGCTCCACTTCTCTCCCCTCCACACCGCTCAACTCCCTTCCATTCCGCTGCAGTTCTCTCTACTCCGCTCCACACTGCTCCGTTCCGCTCCACTCCACTTCTCTCTCCGCTCCACACCGCTCCGCTCCACTCACTTCCACTCCGCTCATCTTCTCTCTACTCCTCTCCGCAACTGCTCCGCTCCACTCCGCTTCTCTCTTTTCCGCTTCAAACCTCTCCGCTCCACTCCACTTCTCTCATCTCCGCTCCACATCGCTCCGCTCCGCTCCACTCACCTCACGGCGTGGACAAGGCTACATCTGAAACCTAACCAACACACAAAGCACATCCTGACCACTGATCGGTAATTGACAGTAACTGGTGAAAAAGCGTGTTGGCATGTTACTGATTCATTTCTATCACACTGACACGTTTTAACTGTGTACCTAAATATATGTAGCTTCAGCGTTCCACAGCCATTACTCCAACCTTTAAAACACACTGTGCAAACATTGGTTTGAATAACGAACAGCTGAACTGAAATATTTACTTATGAACGTTCTTTCACGGCCCATCTGTCCATATGCACAGTCCTTTCAAAGACAGACTCTCAACGTGGTTTGCATACAAGAGGCAATTCTATGACGGTCACACATGTGCACTTTTCTCACGGTGACACTGGAATTTAATTGTGGGACAAACATATATCACCTATGTATACACAGCGTGCACGGTACATACAGCGACACTCATGTTACATTTATGTAAGTGATGTAGGTCGTGGATACAGGGGATGTACAGCAGTGCGGAAGTACCACGATATCTATCTCCGCTTTGTGGTCAGTCTGAGTGAGTTGATGAAGTCAATTTATTTTTAATATTTGTTTGAGTCAGAAAATAGCATACAAAGCCCCAAGGTGAACTCAGTTGGTCGAGACAACGGTGTTCGACTGTTTTTCGTGACCCACCGTTTGTAGCACGTGGGGTAGTGCTAGACTATACTTACTACTTGGAATGTACAGTATTTGTCGTATCTAACTCTACAACATGTTAGGTGTTTGTTGTATATGCAGCCAAAACCCCTTTGTGTCGAGGTTGACAACACCTACGTAAATCTGAGCTATCTGAGCTTCGACACCAGCGGACTGATAAAAACAAGAAGTAGTGCGCAATGACATCGACACACCGAAGATCGAGACAAGGGTGTATTTCTTCTGGTCCAATGTTTCTGGCACGTAAGAGAGGGCCAGATTATATTTTCTCGTTGGTATGTCTGTAACACTGCGCTGTGATGACGGGCAACAACCACGAAGGTCATGTATTGTTTGCGCATTGTGCAACAAGTGATCCAGAGCTATGGCACGCTCATTGCGCGAACACCTGGTGTCATCACGGATTTTCAGTGATCCATTCATCTACTTTCCACCGCGATTTTGAAATATGTTTGGTACGATATTCGAAACTAGTTATTATCTGGGTCCCGATCTACGCCACGACATTCATAAGCCTACTATAAACTACAGAGTTACGACAGGTCGTAATGTTACGAACGTTTTGTGGATCGGGACCCTGGCTTTGTCGGTTAGTATGAATGAAACTTGTGCGTCAGATAGAACGGGTCTGTACAACTGGTGTGTTCATTGATTTTCAGAATCTATTCATATAATATTTATATATTCAGTTTATCACATAAAGCATCTGTTTCGGCAGTCTTTTTCCTCTCTGTCTTTGACGGTTTGAATTTGTATTGGTTTAGAAATGATTTGTGTTATCCACAAAATGTGCAGTGTTTTAAGCCAGTCTGTTAAATTATAATAACCCGTCTATATCTTCCCCAGTGAATGTCTAAAGCCTCGCTTATCTTGTGAACTAAGGTGATAAATTGTAGCTTTAGGAACCCCGTGTTTCACCATTATACTGACCCCTAGGGTGAGATATATGCTTAAATTGCGTTTGTCTCTCACATTGTTTCAATCTTCAGTAAACAACGCCATTATTCTTGAGGTCGTGAAAAAAAGAACATACATACAGAAAAAACAGAAAACAAATCTGTTGTTTTCAATAAGCCATTTTGCTTTTATTCATATTATGAGGATAGACACGTTCATATTTGCATATACTTATTTACATATTTATTACTTTCAGTTCCCCTGCCTCAGATCTTGCTGCCCGACGAGGTGTCTTCAGTCGGCGCCATTACGGTTCTGTGGAATTGGTAAGTCCTCTTGCAGGCTAAGAACAGCATCACCAAAGAATCAGTTTATAAGATTTCTATACTAATTGCAAAATTGCCTGTACGCCGTGGCAATTTCCGCCCGTCTTTCGCCCAGTAATTCGGAAGACTTAGGAGAACCCTGACACCCACTCGTAACACTGAGCCTAGTCTACAGCGGAGTCTGTTGCAGTAAGAAATAAACTTAAATCACCACCACTTTTTGCATAATACATATTTTACAAATTACATTTAACGATATAAGCGCTGTGTTAACGGTTAAACCAGGCGGTAATAGTGACTTTGTCTCACGAATGTTAGGGCGGAGGGTACTGAGTGGTTCAGGCGTTGGCTTGCTACGTCAAAAGCCCGGGTTCGATTCCCCACATGGGTGAAATGTAAGCAACCAGCTTCTAATGTTCCTACGTCATGATGTTGCTGAAATATAATTAATATGGCCTAATACCCACTTACTCAAATAAAGTATGTATATGCCTATATTTCTTCGATTATAATATATGCGTATTGTCAGTATATCTCTTAATTAAGTGTACACTTCATCAAACGTTCACTTCAGTTTATGAATTAATCGGATATATTAATGTTATAGATCACATCCGAAATTGTCATATTTTGTCCAAATCAAATAAAGGAATGGTGCTTTAAAGGAAGTTGATAAAAGGCAGAAAAATACATGAGCTGTGAGCAGCTAGTGTTTAATCGTCCTTTCGTTGTGCATATATTATCAAAGGGAAATCTCAAGGAAGAGAAATAGGAACTAACAGGACGGAAGTATAACATACTGTCATTCATGGCGGATATTTCCCAGTATGATAACGGGCTTGTACTTCCAGCATCGCACAATCTGCTTGTTCTCAAACAGTCATTGACACCAGGTGTTCAGAATACAAAGTACTATCGACAGTCATCCTACCATGGTCTAAGTATTGTAACTGACACCAGGTGTTGAGAATATGTTGAATTACCCGTAGAATAATGCTATGTAGGCGGTGATCACAAGAGTTTCCGACACCAGGTGTTTAGAATATAATATCTTTCCGACCGACATCATTTCAGCCGTAGTGTATGGTGACAAGTAATTTGATGATATCAGTTCATGAGAATATATATCATACTGTCATAGGAGCAGCTTTGTAGGAGAAAATTTATGGTAAATGTATACACATCTGAAGGTTGTCCTACTCTCATGCCAATAATGGTTGTCACCCCCTTCAATTTTTTTAATTGGAGAGGGGGTGGGGTGGGGGTGTGGGGGTTGGGGTGGGGAGGAGGTGACAACCATTATTGGCATGAGTATATTTGTCACAGCATTTACCAGTGTAATTCGTTACTTGACACTGAAACAACGACCATCTGATCCAATCAATCTACCCTTCGGTTTGCATAAGCATTTACTCTAATATTCACATTATTTCCTCTTTAGCACATATCAATACACGTGACATGAACAAACTGACGTATTTCCTTTGTAAATACAGCATTCTGTCCATTTTGTATCTTTAAACTCCAGAACGCATATTCTTAATTGCATTCCTGTGTCGTACTCCTCAACATGAACAATACAAGCTTCCATATTTGCATGGCCGCGGCTTCAAAATAAACGCTTTTGGTTAGATAAAGATATCAAAACATGGTCAACACTGGTCAAGCCTACTTACAAAAGGACATCAATCATGATGATAATGATCGAAATACGGTTCGATGATTACCCGTGAAGATCCGGGTTAGAACTGGTCTTCAGTAACCCATGCTTGTGGTAAGAGGCGACTAACGGGATGGGGTGGTCAGGCTCGCTGACTTGGTTGATGCATGCGATCGTACCCCAAATGCGTAGATGAATGTGCATGATGTCAATCAAAGGATTGTCTGGTTCAGATTTGATTATTTACAGACTGACGTCATATAGCTGGAAAAGTGCTGAGTAGAACGTTAAACAAGAAACAAACAAACAAACAGTTCGTTGGTGACTCATTAGTAACCCGTGGAAAAATAAACATCGTGAACACGTCAAAAATGCACTGCCATCAGCAGCTTAGAAAGTTACAAGCGAATAACGTCATGGGCAACTTCAGCCTAGATTTACTGTATATACACACATGCATGTTCCATTGACTATACCTTAAACGAATTCAATCAACGTGAAATATACGTTTATACCATCCCAACCATTCGACTGTTGTATCATGTTATAACAAATCAATATTACACACATGTAATCATGTAAACATGTTATCTTTAATGGGTTAGTTTCGGTAAGCTACATTAATAAGTTGATGGAGAAATCATCAGGAGGATTTAATATCCCTGTTAAAGGTTTTACAGCTTTAAATACTCTGAATTTAAAGAATAAACTCATGTTCTTTTAGCCATTTGCGAAACGTGTCTTTGTTGAAAATTAACAGGTAAAAGAATCGTGATGTTTTTGCTATGACTCTGAATGTATCCATGGCAACGTCGTTGATGCCGATGGGGAAACGTGGTGTTTTTACGAGTACATGTAATATCAAAAGTTTGAAAATCTAAATTACAATTTCTCATTTCAAAATGTGTAGCCGGTAGGCCCATTACCACTCATGCAGTTGCTGCTGCTGATAATGTTTCAGCTAAACTTGTTATCCGAGAACATTGTCATTACATCGTTGAAATATGACTCATACAAAGTTGTTACACAAGAATGCGCTTCTTTATTGCATGTAAATATGGTTGTTCAATATGAAAATAAAGAGTTGAATGTCAAAATTGTCAAAAGACCAAACTATTACAAATGATTACCTATTGCGAACATTGCTGACTGGTTTAACTCATCGCGAGACATAGTATGTATAGTTCTTGTTCCTTTGTACGCTCCAAGGCAACACCATGTTGCAAATTTCCAGCGGGCCTAAAACTCCGCATGAATTCTGCAGAGTTTCTGCGTAGTTACGCAGAATGTTTGCGGAACTCCCAATTGTCTCCACGGATACACCGCAGAGATATCACGGCTATTCAGCCGAAATGTTTGAAATTAACTTCCTCCTATATGGGAGCAGTTAGTGATGTGGGCTTCGTTCGCCTGTGCACCAACAATTATCAGTTACACAAGTCACTACAATCTGTGGCGGTGTTAACTTTAGTGGTATTGAAGTTTGAGATTTTATTTTATAGTACCATTATTCTGTAAATCACATTACTCAAACTAAAAAAGGGCTTCATATGTGGTTATCAGTAGATATGGCTTAACACTGACTGCCGGACTGTTGTGCACAGCTAAAGAACATCTACAAACACAAAAATATTTCCGTAGCGTATAGTAGGCAGTTCAGGGTGACAGAAATAGGAATATCACTTTAAGTCCGATATTGTGTAACGAAAGGCCAGCTTGTAACCCTTGTAAGTGTTAAAAAAAACCTTAGGAATGTAACCGTTACGGCTGTTGCTGTACAGTGTACATGAAACTTCCTTTGTCTTTTCTCCCAATTCCTTCTTTAACCCCCTTTCTCCATCCTCTATGGCTCTCTCCATCAATGCCTCTTCTCTTTCTCTCTCTCTTTCTCTCTCTCTCTCCCACTCTATCTCTCTCTCTCCCTCTCTCTCTCTGGGCCTCACACTCACTGTGCAAAGACATTTGATTTTAGCGCGAGCTACCCATATTTGTTAACAGTTAACGTTGGTTAAAATCTCAATATTGGCTTACATGTTTATGTCCTTTGTCACTTCCACTTTCTTCGAAAATTATGTTGACACGATTTTTATTTTATTAAATCTCACAAAAAACGAAAGTCTTAAACACCATCTAAAGGGGAAAAAAACTTGTGAAATATAATTGTGTGCAACTTAAATGTGTAAATGTTTTAAAATCAGATACATATGTGAAGAAATAGAAAACAGACAAAAATACATCCATCAGCCAAACAAAGGGAAGAAGGCCGATGACCTCATTGTACATGTCGAATCGTTCAGCTCATTAAAGACTGATTGTTGGCGTCAAACTATGCCGAGGTTCCTCTACGGCGAACTAGTGCGTTTATTGTGGCACCTGATAGTTGAGTTCATTTGGCGAATCGATTCAACACAACGCTTTCGCTATCAATGTTTAACGTTTTGGTCTAAACTCGGTGCAGACAAACACTGTACTTAGCTAATGCAATTCCTTAATGAAGTCATTGTTCTCAAATGACTTTTTAATGTGTCACTTAAGACTGAAGACCCGTGAAACGCACAGGCATTTGGGAAAAAAGTTTACCCCAGTGTAACGTTCTTTTTGAAAAGCCAAAGCCAATTTCACACCGTCGCGAAGAAATAAATAGCCCAATCAACAGATCGCTGGCCTGTCACGTATACTGTAAATGGGGCATTTGGAACCTACGTGGTTCTTTAACGTCAAGCGGGAAAATGCTTGGTGGAAATCCGCGAGGAAATTGGCCTAGCCCACGCACAGAATTACCATCTACTTGCATGAGGTTTTAGTATTCTGCGGTATTTTCAAAACATTCTAGTATTAGGATGCATCCTTATTCAACACTGTATAATACCACTATGAGCATTGAGGATAATAATTGATCAGTCAATTAAATGGTTCGTGGTATCGTCATCATTGATCGTTCTCGGTTGAAAATGGTCAAATTGGGCTGTCATGCGTCCGGATCGATATCGGTTACAAGACTTTGATCCATGTGTACAGGGGCACAAGGTGAAGGTCATTATGAAATACATTCATGTTATGATCTTCCGCTGACCTTGGAATAATTGAATGTCTAGAGGATTATGATGCAGAGAGTTGGGGTTGGGGGATGGGTTGAAGAGGTCTTTCAGATCGGGTCATTTTCAAAGGGTCATGTCTTTGCACGTTCAAGCATACCACTGTTGTCATTAATGGTTCTGGTAAAAAAACACATTGCAATTATCCACCTTAGGCATACGGCCCCATAAGCATTCTTTACTGCATTGAAACTTAGTACTCTGTTTACCAGACAAATATATTGATTCTATTGGAGTGAAGTCAGTCTCTGAAAAAAGCTGTGTCTTAGTTATGAGGGTGTTCGCAAAGTGTCATGTTTAATCTGCGAGATCAATTCCTGGTGTTCCCCACCCTTTTAATATTACTGCGATATTGGTAACACCAGCATAAAGTAATATTTACTCACTCACACGATATCTCTGGGGAAACAGTACTGTCAACATTACAGGTTTGGTTGTTGTTTTACGCCGCACTCAGCAATCTTCCAGCTATATGGCAGCGGACTGTAAATAATCGAGTCTTTACAATCCAGTGATTCACAGCATGAGCATCGATCTACGCAACTGGAATACGATGACATGTGTCAACCAAGTCAGCCAGCATGACCACCCGATACTGTTAGTCGCCTGTTACGACAGGCATGGGTTGCTGAAGACCAATTGTAACCCGGATGTTCACGGGTCCTATCAACATTATACCAAAATCTCTAAGTCCAACTCAAGATGGCCACGTATCAACAAATCGATCATATCGATATGGGCTCATTCCGACAAATATTTCTATTATCCCAAGAACTTTGTGTCATCGTTCATTGATTGTATTGCGAGGTAACTAAAACTGAATATCGCTTCAAGGGATGAGTCTTCAGCGACGGTTAGCGTTTTTCCGGGATGATGTATGGCCCCACCAAAACCGCACCTAATAACGTAATACGATGGAAATTGCACCGGGAACCATTACGCTGTCGTAGAATTGATGACTATTGATTGCATAACTAACCATGATATGTTCCAAAAGCTTTGGAGACCGGCATGATTAAAGGAACAAAATGCCGTGTTCAATGGAACACAATTACAATGTACCTTTGCCATTCACTTTATAACACGGGGATATGGGGTGGCTCGGTGATAAAGTGTTTAATGTGCATCCTGACTCCCAGCTTAACCCATTTGATGTAAGTGATGTAAGTGGTAGCACGTGGCCCTGTGCATAGAGCTCAGGTCACAAATCAGGTGAAGTTAAGCAACGTTGGGTGCGGAGAGTCCTTGGATGGGTGACCGTGTTTGGCAGTTTGACTTCTTAGAGTTTCTAGGTCTCGGTCCTACCCCACAACGAAGCACATGTGATACATGTGGTCTCACCCTAGGCAATTGAGTTTGTTCAAAATTACCTCTGTTCACCCAGCAGAAGATGGGTACCCGGTTGGATAAAGTCATGTAACTATAACCTTCCAGCGCCTAACAGGCAGCTTGGGTTATCCGGGGTAATTATAATCAGATTGTTTGGGAGCTTCGAGCATGCTTTGTGCATGGAACAATGCGCATGATAAAAAGATTATCATTGCTATTATTATCTCAATCCTGTACATTAAGATATTAAACTGCAAAAATCAAAACATAACCCTTCTATCTAAGTGTTTGTCTGCATTAACGGGTGGTGTCTCACCAAACAAATTTAGCCTATTTTACCCTGCTGTTACTCACTCTTATATTCCCGGAATATTGTTAAATATTGTTAAAATAATAATCCAACTTAGAAGAAAGGGCTAGGCGTGTCTAGTGGCACAGAGGGATCATACAGAGTAGCTTTCGTCTTGTGGCTTGAGATGAGTGAGTGAGTATGGCTTTACGCCGCTTATAGCAATATTCTAGCAATATCACGACGGGGGACACCAGAAATGGGCTTCACACATTGTACCTATGTGGGGAATCGAACCCGGGTCTTCGGCGTGACGAGCGAACGCTTTAACCACTGGACTACCACACCGCCCCGGCTTGAGATGAAATGTGAGATGTCAGATAATAGTTAGTTCCCCGTATATATCTCTCTCAGTAAGATGATTCTGGAACAAGGTCATTGTAGCCATTTCCTGTATCAGTCTATGATATTCTGAGAGTCAGAACACGGCGGAAGCCTCTAGAACTACAGATACCATGTACAGCAGGTGAAACACTGTTGCGTAAGGTCTAACACTGTTGCATAAGGTCTAACACTGTTGCATAAGGTCTAACACTGTTGCATAAGGTCTAACACTGCCTCAAAATAATTGTTGGAAATAGAACGGGCGAAGACTATTCCTGGCATTTACAAATAAAGTACTTAATCACTATTGCCGTTCGAATTGACTTGTTGCGCAGTTCCACAGAATGTCTGATATTCGTGTAGATTATTCCGTCAATTCTCAATTTGCATGCGTTTGGGACTCAATATTTAGCAGCCTGTAAAGGTTTGTCCCGACACAGAAGTGACGTCTGGGAGAAAAATGGTTTGGTGCTGCAGTTTGATAACGGGATTCAATTAGGAAATGGGTTGCATAGAAGTGTAACGATTTAAGAAACTATGTACTCCTTTGACAGGTTGTACATCCTATCAGTTATTAGTGTAGATTATTGCCAGGCGGTTCGGTACAAAGGTCGGGTATCAATCCTTGTAGGTTGGTAAAGATCCCGCTCTCGTCATGTTTGCGTTCATTTGAAGAAATAAATATTTGGAAGATGATCGCGATTCCTTGTCAATTCGTTATATGTCTTTTTCTGAATTTTCAGCTCACATCTGTTGATTCTGATGGCTCTACACAAAATGCCGGTCGGTTTCGTGTGGAATCCGGGGAACGAGATGTCGAGGACACGCACCATCTAGGGGTAAGGCACCTCCTGAGTTGTGTACACCAACTTGTACATAACCTTCAAAGTCAGTGGGTGATGTGTGGCGGGTGGCATTTGACGAGGTAGTGAATATCTCAATTTTCAGCCCCATATGAGCACTAGTGCTGGTATTCGCATACAACCTGCGATACTATACATCACGATACTAAAATCCTAGTCACGACGATATATTGCCAACGTATTGTGCACTGAAGCTGCGATACGATACGAATCGCGATATAAGGGTGGCGATACGATACGTATCACGATACTAAAACCTTTAATTCTGACACCAACTGTAAAACACCTTAAGATTAAAACAAAAACAATGTTTAAATGAAAGAAACTTTAATTTGAAAAAGTCACATTGGGCACTTTTTTTAAAAACAAGTACAAAATAAATAAAACATTACTGACTGACTGACTGACTGACTGAGTTTGGTTTTACGCCGCTTTTAGCAATATTCCAGCAACATCACGGCGGGATAAAACATTAAACTGTTATAAACAGAAAATATATATAAAAACATATTTAATATCTGCATGTTGCTGGATGCTGTCACTGCTGTCACATAATAGAATAGAATAGAATAAAATTTGTGCTGATTTTGAAAACGCTACGTTCAATATCGATATATCGTATCGTATAGGGATATACGATATACGGCAATGTAACACTTTGTATCTGTCACTATCAATGAACCGTCACACTACTAATGAGCACCTCATGAAATGGTTCTTGATGTTGTTTAGTCCCCAGGCTAAAATTATGTCGCTTCAAAAAATCAACAACCTTCTTCAGAAAAATCCCAGGTTATGCAGATGTAGAACTTCTATCTTGAAATAAGAACTGTCGTGATTCATCATACTTTGAAAGACAACTTTGATAATATCAATACAACTTATAGGACGTTTGAGGTGTCGATTCGGTACTAAATCGACATACTACTTGTCTTGCACGACTCTATCAGTATAAGACTTTCAGTCTCAGTCACACGATTGTGTCCGCATAAAACAATAAGGAGTAATCTCATCAAGTGACCTGACAAAGATTATATTTTCATGTTTGTATGTTTTCGCCTTAACGCATTAATACGTTCGTAAGATCACGGATTGGGCATGACATATGCCCGGTTCACACTAACACGAATCAAGCACTGTACTGTCCTTGTTGCCCAAATGTTTCTATTGGCAATGGATGATTCCAATACTTAACCTTCTGAGACAACCTTGTATATAATTTGTCTTGGGAACAAATATACGATGCAGTGGAAATTGCTCTTATCCGAAACAAAATATCGAAAAGGGTTTAATTTGATCTGGAAGCACGTCAGTAAACAAATGTCTGGAAGTGAATCAATGGCGTGCATCACATCTCAGAATGATAGGAAGGTTATCGGCAGCATCAAGCTATCATTGATTGAAAGCACTTGTTGCCCTTTGTTTATAGCAGACTATGTGATCTTTAGGGTCAGATGTATTGATACTCTGTCCGTTGAATACCCTTTTCCAAATTAGTTTGTTCAAATTTATCGCTTTTAAAGACAACCACACTCATTTGTTTCTCACAAACATGTAACGAAGCCCTGGGAGGATTGATCATATATCGACTTAACCGTATTTCGACTTGTTGACGGGAGACGTCAGTGCTTGTTTGCAATGTGCTGCTTCTGATGATGGTGATGATGATTCCGATTTGGAGATTTAACGTGCGTTTTCCGACATAATGCTTCTTTCGCACACGGTTTCAGTGAGCATCAAGTTGTGTCTTTTGTAATGATATGTCAGCATCAAGGAATTCGAGCTACGGAGGTTTCGATTTGATTAGGACGTAATCGTCACTCACTACCCGTGAAGATCCGGGTTAGAATTGATCTTCAGTAACCCATGCTTGTCGTAAGAGGCCACTAACGGGATCGGGTGGTCAGGCTCGCTGACTTGGTTGACACATGTCATCGTATCCCAATTGCGTAGAACGATGTTCATGATGTTGATCACTACATTGTCTGGTCCAGGCTCGATTATTTACAGACCGCCGCCATATAGCTGGAATATTGTTGAGTGCGGCGTAAAACTTAACTCACTTACTCACTACCTCACTCACTCATCCATGTATGTGTGTTTCAGCTATCGAGCCCTCTCAACAGCCCAATTCATCTAGAAAACCCCGAATACCAGACAAGATGGTACTTCAAGTACTTCTTAGGGAAATGTAAGTAATATCTGATATTGTTGTGAAGTGAAGCAAAGGGTGTATATACTCACGTATACCATAGATATGCAATCACTTCACGAATATTGTGTACTTTTATTGCTTGGTATGTGTAAGGAACACAATAGACAGTAAAACAATGTTAGACTTGAAACTGATCTGGCGCCTCAAACTCTTGCAAAATCAAAATCAATGTAATTTCATTCTCGCGATCAACAGTACTCTTTTATATCATATTAGACCTCCTGTCGCAAGTTTGTGAAAGAAGTCCCAATACGATCAAGGATCAATCCTCTTTTATGCTGTAGTCTAAATTCTTCGGCAAAGACAGGGTTCCAGTATTGACGTTCCCTTATTTCATTCCGTCAGGATGTGTGCTATAAAATACGGTTTATACCTTAATAGGTCAACATCGTTTTCTAGATTGAAAACATGCATGTTTTTAATTCTGTGATGTAAATTCTCCCCAACAGGCTTCTGAAGCCGTAACACCAATTCCTAAAGGCGTTAGAGATAACCGATTCTGTGAGATCAATGTAGTTTATCTGTCATGCCAGATAAATTCTATTAATAGAAAGAATCAGGTGCTTTTTAAGTACATGTGCACTATATACACGATCTTTATACGAACGTCCCTACAACGAACTGCCTTTTCCCTCCGGGCAGTAGCGGCATATTTTAGTCGAAATACCATTATAGTCGGAATGAGTATCACGAACTACGGTTGTACCGAAATAAAATCGGTGGTCCCTTTGAATTCGTTATAACCGTAGTTTTCTCTATTTGCTATTCAAGAACAGTTTATCACCGAAGAGAACATATTTTACAGATTTAAACTATACGTGGTATTTCTATACACAGTACATCAGAACTACGTCGGCGTGGATTTGGAGAAGGAGCTGTTCCTGTTGTCCGTCATCGTCACCGACGCCAACAACCACAACGTCCCGCAGTACAGAGCCATATTGTGGAGGAAAACTGTACGTGTACAACCGATACTGTGACGTGATTGTGTGTAGCATGACATTTTACCTTTCTCCATAAACAGTGGACGTCAACGCCTGTATCTGTAAACTCCTTAATGTTGCTGAAATGTCACTATGTAATTGAAAACCATTTCGTCACATTACGTATTATTTCGTAACATGTTTGACCTTTAATGTTGTCACTCCCTCATTCTTCTATTTACAATCGTGCTGGGTCTTGGTTGGGTTGTTGTTTTACGCCGCACCAAGCAACATTCTAGCTGTATGGTCGCGGTCTGTAGACACTCCAGTCTGGACCAGACAATCCAGTGATCAACAGCATGAGCATTGATCTACGCAACTGGGATACGATGACATGTGTCAACCAAGTTAGTGAGCCTGACCACCCCCTTGCAAGCATTGGTTGCTGAAGACCAATTCTCACCCGGGTCATACTTCATATCACGGGTCTTACTGGATATCATATGATTCACCTACGTTTCTACTTTTCAGGGTGCTAAGAAACTCGCATTGCCTTATAACCCAGGGAAGCCACAAACAGTCAAAGGAATTTTGAGGTAGATGTCTATATCCCTAAAACATTGATTTTGTGGTAAGGTTTATGATGTAACATAAGATGACATTGCAAATACCTACAGGGTCCAGAACAGAATACGTGGATTTTGATATTCATTAACTGAAACACACCAACACATATGCGGATAATTAATATTGATTAATAAGTCCTTTTGATATATTAATCTTTTAATTGAATTATTCCTTTTTACATATTTACATTGATTTGATTTTTCAGTCACTTCGACTTACACAAATTTGAAAAGGACCAAAGGAAATATTTGATCCAAACATTCAGAAGGAGCTTTTAGTACTCGAAGAACAAGAGGTAAGATAAATGTGACGCTTTCATTTTTACATTCTTTGATGCCAGACGACAATGGAGCCAATTTCATAACAATAATTGATTGCTGACCCCCTACCAATACGTTCTCCTAAACGATAAATGTCTTTTTGATAATATCTTCAGTTGGCAATATTACCATCGGTTTCTACTGGTTAGCCAAAGCTAATGCCCAGTTCTTAACATGGGCGAAATTGTGAACATCGCTGTGCTGTTGGTCTGCATTAATATAGGGGGAAATCAATCTATGTCTGGACTCTCAGGAACACGGCGTTTCAGAGTAAATTCTTATACCTTCACCACCTGACGAAGGAGTGGGTATAAATTCCGGAACGTCACGTTGATCACCTGATGAAGGAGTAAGGATATACTCCGAAACGTCATGTTTATCACGTGATGAATGGGAAAGGATATATACACCAAACATCATGTTCATCACGTGATGAATGAGTAATTACATATACACCAAACATCATGTTCATCACGTGATGAATGAGTAAATATATACACAAATATCATGGATATATACACGTGATGAATGAGTAAGGATATATACACCAAACATCATGTTCAAACATATACACATGTTCATCACGTGATGAATGAGTAAGGATATATACACCAAACATCATGTTCATCACGTGATGAATGAGTAAGGATATATACACCAAACATCATGTTCATCACGTGATGAATGAGTAAGGATATATACACCAAACATCATGTTCATCACGTGATGAATGAGTAAGGATATATACACCAAACATCATGTTCATCACGTGATGAATGAGTAAGGATATATACACCAAACATCATGTTCATCACGTGATGAATGAGTAAGGATATATACACCAAACATCATGTTCATCACGTGATGAATGAGTAAGGATATATACACCAAACATCATGTTCATCACGTGATGAATGAGTAAGGATATATACACCAAACATCATGTTCATCACGTGATGAATGAGTAAGGATATATACACCAAACATCATGTTCATCACGTGATGAATGAGTAAGGATATATACACCAAACATCATGGTCATCACGTGATGAATGAGTAAGGATATATACACCAAACATCATGTTCATCACGTGATGAATGAGTAAGGATATATACACCAAACATCATGTTCATCACGTGATGAATGAGTAAGGATATATACACCAAACATCATGTTCATCACGTGATGAATGAGTAAGGATATATACACCAAACATCATGTTCATCACGTGATGAATGAGTAAGGATATACACACAAAACATCATGTTCATCACGTGATGACTGAGTAAAGATATATACACCAACATCATGTTCATCACGTGATGAATGAGTAAAGATATATACACCAAACATCATGTTCATCACGTGATGAATGAGTAAGGATATATACACCAAACATCATGTTCATCACGTGATGAATGAGTAAGGATATATACACCAAACATCATGTTCATCACGTGATGAATGAGTAAGGATATATACACCAAACATCATGTTCATCACGTGATGAATGAGTAAGGATATATACACCAAACATCATGTTCATCACGTGATGAATGAGTAAGGATATATACACCAAACATCATGTTCATCACGTGATGAATGAGTAAGGATATATACACCAAACATCATGTTCATCACGTGATGAATGATGAATGAGTAAGGATATATACACCAAACATCATGTTCATCATGAATGTGATGAATGAGTGATGAAGGATATATACACCAAACATCATGTTCATCACGTGATGAATGAGTAAGGATATATACACCAAACATCATGTTCATCACGTGATGAATGAGTAAGGATATATACACCAAACATCATGTTCATCACGTGATGAATGAGTAAGGATATATACACCAAACATCATGTTCATCACGTGATGAATGAGTAAGGATATATACACCAAACATCATGTTCATCACGTGATGAATGAGTAAGGATATATACACCAAACATCATGTTCATCACGTGATGAATGAGTAAGGATATATACACCAAACATCATGTTCATCAATGGAGTAAGGATATACACACAAACATCATGTTCATCATCGTGATGAATGAGTAAGGATATATACACCAAACATCATGTTCATCACGTGATGAATGAGTAAGGATATATACACCAAACATCATGTTCATCACGTGATGAATGAAAAGGATATATACACCAACATCATGTTCATCACGTGATGAATGAGTAAGGATATATACACCAAACATCATGTTCATCACGTGATGAATGAGTAAGGATATATACACCAAACATCATGTTCATCACGTGATGAATGAGTAAGGATATATACACCAAACATCATGTTCATCACGTGATGAATGAGAAAGGATATATACACCAAACACCATGTCCATCACGTGATGAATGAGTAAGGATATATACACCAAACATCATGTTCATCACGTGATGAATGAATAAAGGATATATACACCAAACATCATGTTCATCACGTGATGAATGAGTAAGGATATATACACCAAACATCATGTTCATCACGTGATGAATGAGTAAGGATATATACACCAAACATCATGTTCATCACGTGATGAATGAGTAAGGATATATACACCAAACATCATGTTCATCACGTGATGAATGAGTAAGGATAAACACCAAACATCATGTTCATCACGTGATGAATGAGTAAGGATTAACTCCGAAACGTCGTGTTCTTCATAATATTGAAATCTTCCCCTTTATGTGCTAATGATAGTGTATTATATTAATGTCCTGTCACCTACACGTTTGTGAGGATGAGAATAACGGTACTTACTCCACTCTGTTTATCCAACAGGGATCCGTTAACTTCAAGATCGGAGTGTTGTATGTGCGTGAGGGGCAGACTACTGACGATGAATTCTACAGTAATGGTGAGTTCCTCTGAACATGTACTTGATTTTCAGAATAAAATAACCATTGAATAGTCCGGAAACCCCTTCACTGACGCGCATGTTGAGAACCTCTATTGATCTCTAAAGGAATCTTATTCGAAGACATGGGTTGAACGGCATAATGGTGTACAGTACCACTCTTATTAACATTATTTTCACATTTGGTGCACCAGTGACAAAATAATACCCGATTCAATTCCCAATTTTGACTTGTACGCTACATTCTCGTATTTTCACAGATGAACAGTTGACTTGATTTGTATGTGTTTATTACGGGGACCACCGATGAGGCAGGATACGTTCATCTTATAGCGAACACCTTGTATCATCACTATTTGATAATGATTCATATGCACATGCTCAAATAAAGTCGGATTCGGCTGTCGGCTTGGCTGTTGGCAGAGATGCCTTAGATGTGAAAAAGGATTACTGCACCAAGACACAAAACAGTTACTGACAGCACTGTAAATTGAATATTCCTCAAATATAATATTCTTTTCTGTGATATAATGTGCCATAATATATACAAAAGTGTAATTCACTGAAACACCCCACACCCACACAGACAGCTGGGACTTCTAAGATCCAGGTTCGTATCCCAGAGACGACACCGATTGTGTAAAATAATTTCAACAGGCGCTATACTGTCAAATTAACTAAATTTCCTCTCCTGTAACTTGTAAAGCAATAGTCACGACACTTCCTCCTAAGAGATGCACTGTGAATAGATGTGCATTAACGTTCGAGAGTCCCTGACGAAGTTAATCGAAGCCTTGGGAGATGTTGTTAGATTTGAACCGCTACGTGAACACAACAGGTAAACAGAAATAATCAATGGGGACAGCAGACCTTTAGCCTCGTTGGCATGGCAACTCTTCCATCACAACCAGTCAGGGGATGCATATATAATGTAGGGTTTATAAGGCTAATAAAAAGGAAGTTTATAGGATGCATGGCATCCGATTGGTCCAGAGTTCTTCTCGTATGGATGAAGCAGTATTGGAATTTGTCAGGAGAGTCCTGGATTCAAATAAAGTCTGTATAAATTAATCTAGAACGTCTGTGCAACAGAATACCCAGGTTGACTCTGCTCAGAAACAAATTCCGTTTGGTGTAAAGGGAAGATAACTGAAAATTACTGAAAATCTGATGCCCCAGTGTGGAAAGGGTAAGCTTGTCCTGCCCTACCGGTAGCACCGCCATTTACAAAATTTGCCTAAAAATGAAAAGCTTTAATCCCTCATTCCGTCAAACGTAGTTTTAGTGATAACTTACAACAATTATTTGATTTCGTTTTGTTCACGACATAGTTTTGTCACACCCAGGCTTCCATTGATGATACATTTGTACGGAAGCCTGGTAACGCTATTGGCGTCTTGATGTCTTCGCAACGACAAATCCTCCTACGTTTCTCCGGCTGCTATTCGCCATTGATGCCAATCATTGTCGTGAGTTCATTGTCGTGTTAGCTGACAACATTCCATAAGCTGCCAGAATGTATTTGTTGCTGCACGTAGCCGCCTTGTGGCAGACAGATGATACTTTCTCACCGTTGTTTAGAATCACGCACATGCTTGTGTGTGCATAAATGTAAATCAAATCAGTGCAGGAAAGGGAATACTCTGTAAATACCAGCATGCGGGAGAACACTGGAAATCGATAATCGTTGTATCGGATTTCATCATGGCATCATCGTCACTATGGGATCGTATTAGGTTGCTTTGTTTTATCATGGAGTAGGACATTTGTAGACCAATACAGCGTCTGCTGTGTGTACAGGATCTGGTTTGAAGTCTTATGTTGGTTTGGGTAGCGCCACTGTGTACCCAACGAATCGAAAATAAATCCCTGGTACAGCTGATAGGTGTACTCCTGGGGACCGATATATTGAACTACTGTTGAGGGTCCGTGGAGGGACGTGAAAGCAACACGTTAAGGAGCTGGTGATCATAAGTGAGATAGGCGTCAAGAAGCGCGTAGCATCAAGACAGACGGGCGTGAAAGTCACGCCTTAAAGAGCGCGTGATAGTTTGAAAGACAAACGTGGAAGCGACGCGTGAAGGAGCGCGTGATAGTATGAGAGACGGACGTGACAACCACATGTTAAAGGGCGCGTGGTAGTATGAGAAACGGACGTGGAAGCCGGGCGTCAAGGAGCGCGTGATAGTATGAGAAACGGACGTGAAAGCGACGCGTGAAGGAGCGCGTGGTAGTATGAGAAACGGACGTGAAAGCGACGTGTTAAAGGGCGCGTGTCAGGAAGAGAAACGGACGTGAAAGCGACGTGTTAAAGAGCGCGTGTTAGGAAGAGAAACGGACGTGAAAGCGACGCGTTAAAGAGCGCATGATAGGAAGAGAAACGGACGTGAAAGCGACGCGTCAAGGAGCGCGTGATAGGAAGAGAAACGGACGTGAAAGCGACGCGTCAAGGAGCGCGTGATAGGAAGAGAAACGTACGTGAAAGCGACGCGTCAAGGAGCGCGTGATAGGAAGAGAAACGGACGTGAAAGCGACGTGTTAAAGAGCGCGTGGTAGTATGAGAAACGGACGTGGAAGCCACGCGTCAAGGAGCGCGTGATAGTATGAGAGACGGACGTGAAAGCGACGCGTCAAGGAGCGCGTGGTAGTATGAGAAACGGACGTGAAAGCGACGTGTTAAAGAGCGCGTGTTAGGAAGAGAAACGGACGTGAAAGCGACGCGTCAAGGAAGCGCGTGATAGGAAGAGAAACGGACGTGAAAGCGACGTGTTAAAGGGCGCGTGTTGGAAGAAAACGGTCGTGAAAGCGACGCGTCAAAGGCGTGTGGTAGTATGAGAAACGGTCGTGAAAGCGACGCGTTAAAGAGCGCTTGTTAGGAAGAGAAACGGACGTGAAAGTGACGCGTCAAGGAGCGCGTGATAGTATGAGAAACGGACGTGAAAGCGACGTGTTAAAGGGCGCGTGTTAGGAAGAGAAACGGACGTGAAAGCGACGTGTTAAAGAGCGCGTGATAGGCAGAGAAACGGACGTGAAAGCGACGCGTCAAGGAGCGCGTGATAGGAAGAGAAACGGACGTGAAAGCGACGTGTTAAAGAGCGCGTGTTAGGAAGAGAACGGACGTGAAAGCGACGCGTCAAGGAAGCGTGATAGGAAGAGAAACGGAAGTGAAAGCGACGCGTGAAGGACCGCCTGTTAGGAAGAGAGACGGACGTGAAAGCGACGCGTTAAAGAGTGTGATAGGAAGAGAAACGGATGTGAAAGCGACGCGTTAAAGAGCGCGTGTTAGGAAGAGAAACGGACGTGAAAGCGACGCGTCAAGGAGCGCGTGATAGTATGAGAAACGGACGTGAAAGCGACGTGTTAAAGGGCGCGTAAGGAAGAAAACGGACGTGAAAGCGACGTGTTAAAGAGCGCGTGATAGGAAGAGAAACGGACGTGAAAGCGACGCGTCAAGGATCGCGTGATAGGAAGAAACGGATGTGAAAGCGACGTGTTAAAGCGCGCGTGTTAGGAAGAGAAACGGACGTGAAAGCGACGCGTGAAGAGCAATGATAGGAAGAGAAACGGACGTGAAAACGACGCGTGAAGGACCGCCTGTTAGGAAGAGACGGACGTGAAAGCGACGTGTTAAAGAGCGCGTGATAGGAAGAGAAACGGACGGTGAAAGCGACGCGTCAAGGCGCGCGTGATAGTATGAGACGGACGTGAAAGCGACGCGTTAAGGGAGCGCGGTAGTAGTATGAAACGGACTTGAAGGCGACGCGTTAAAGAGCGCGTGATAGTATGAGAAACGGACGTGAAAGCGACGTGTTAAAGGGCGCGTGTTAGGAAGAGAAACGGACGTGAAAGCGACGTGTTAAAGAGCGCGTGATAGGCAGAGAAACGGACGTGAAAGCGACGCGTCAAGGAGCGCGTGATAGGAAGAGAAACGGACGTGAAAGCGACGTGTTAAAGAGCGCGTGTTAGGAAGAGAAACGGACGTGAAAGCGACGCGTCAAGGAGAGCGTGATAGGAAGAGAAACGGAAGTGAAAGCGACGCGTGAAGGACCGCCTGTTAGGAAGAGAGACGGACGTGAAAGCGACGTGTTAAAGAGCGCGTGATAGGAAGAGAAACGGATGTGAAAGCGACGCGTTAAAGAGCGCGTGTTAGGAAGAGAAACGGACGTGAAAGCGACGCGTCAAGGAGCGCGTGATAGTATGAGAAACGGACGTGAAAGCGACGTGTTAAAGAGCGCGTGTTAGGAAGAGAAACGGACGTGAAAGCGACGTGTTAAAGAGCGCGTGATAGGAAGAGAAACGGACGTGAAAGCGACGCGTCAAGGATCGCGTGATAGGAAGAGAAACGGATGTGAAAGCGACGTGTTAAAGAGCGCGTGTTAGGAAGAGAAACGGACGTGAAAGCGACGCGTAAGGAGCGCGTGATAGGAAGAGAAACGGACGTGAAAACGACGCGTGAAGGACCGCCTGTTAGGAAGAGAGACGGACGTGAAAGCGACGTGTTAAAGAGCGCGTGATAGGAAGAGAAACGGACGTGAAAGCGACGCGTCAAGGAGCGCGTGATAGTATGAGAAACGGACGTGAAAGCGACGCGTTAAGGAGCGCGTGGTAGTATGAGAAACGGACTTGAAGGCGACGCGTTAAAGAGCGCGTGATAGTATGAGAAACAGATGTGAAAGCCACGCGTGAAGGAGGGCATGATAGTATGAGAAACGGACGTGAAAGCGTCACGTTAATGAGCGCGTGGTAGTGTGAGAGACGGACGTGAATGCGACGCGTTAAGGCGCAAGTGACAGTAAGAATGAGTGACAGAATTTACTTTACGGAAATGGAGCGCGTGATAGTATGAGAGACTTACGTGAAAGCATCACGTTAAGGAGCGCGTGTGAGGAAGAGAGACGGACCTGAACGCGACGCGTCAAGGAGAGCTTAAAAAGAATAGAGATGAATATGAAACTGAGGCGTCAAGCAACACATGGTAAGTCAGACGGACGCGACAGCGACGCGTTAAGGAGTGCGTGACGATGACGGACAAGAAAGCGATGTTTTCTGGCAAGCGTGACAGGAACCTGTATGACGTGACGAGAGAAGGATCGTGTGGTGGAGGAAATGAATGAACGACTTGACGTAAGACGCGACGCACAAAGAGACACTTGACGTAACGAACATATTGCATCATGCCCGTGTGATGAAAACATAGCATTATGGGTAGCGAGATGACAAAATAGCTGCCAAAGTAGAACAACCACAAACCCGAGTCTCTGTTATTCACATGAACAAACATAGCATTCTGATTCCTATTTTCAGAGGAAGGGAGTGACTCCTTTGAAAATTTTATAAGTCTTCTTGGTGACAGAATATCCTTGAAAGGATGGGAGAAATTCAAGGCGGGTTTAGACGTGAAATGTAAGTACACGATATATTCATGTATGCTTCTGTTTCATTGCCACACATTTCATCTTTTGAGTGAGTGAGTGAGTATGGTTTTACGCCGCTTTTAGCAATATTCCAGCAATATCACGGCGGGGGACACCAGAAATGGGCTTCACACATTGCACCCATGTGGGGAATCGAACCCGGGTCTTCAGCATGTCGAGCGGACGCTTTAACCATTAGGCTACCCCACCGCCCCATTTCATCTTTTGGTGAATATAAGCTATCCTATAGCAGCACCGACAATATGCATCCAGTTTACCAGTAGCAGCCTACGGATGATCAAGGAATAATATAATATGCCTGAATGAGTATGGTTTTACCCCGCTGTACCAACAGCTCAGCAATGTTGTGGCAAACAGTTGACTATATGTACATTTGGTTGTGACAGGTAGGTTTCACATGCTTCGGTGCATTCATAGCGCTCTCGAAAATGACATGGTTTTTTTAACTAATGAATCATCGCTTATTAATATTTTCTCATGTTAATTCAACGAGCTAAACAAATTCTGATAGGAACTTTATAGAGTACATGTGCTCGTCAATTTCTGCTTACTGACGGTGATGATTTAATTTCAGCCGATACAACCGGTGAAGAAAGTGTTTATACAATATATGAAGGGCATGAAATCATGTTTCATATATCTACAATGCTGCCTTATTCCAAAGACAACAAACAACAGGTATGTTTACTGAGTGAGTGAGGGAGTGAGTTGAGTGAGAGAGAGCGATAAACAGCATCTTCAGTATTTTTGACTACCCCATGAGAGAGGTACAAGCAATGGACTGTATGTATTTAGTGGGTTTATCTTAATCTGTTGAGTACGGGTATGTTGATGATGGATCCAACGGGGTTGACTCTGAAATAAGAACCGAGAACGATCCTCGTTCGACAAACTGATGCAATTCTTTCAGTTGACTTTTGGAACCTCCTTTGTTATTCTTAAGACTTATTCTCAAGTGCAAATATGAATGATTTCCTGAAAGAATGTTTTAAACTTAAAAAGATGTAAGACACCTAACGCAAGCGTTTATGTTTATAATTCAGGGCCTATTTGAACAAAAAATATATACCATCTTAGATATTCTACTCTTGTAAGTCTATTTTACAGTAGGTGTTTAGAAAACTTATTTTAGGCAAGTTGATCGTCGAAACAGTGGTCACCACAACGTATTGTTTAATACCGTTGACTGCTTGTTTCCATGCTAGTTCGATTAGTCAGGTTTGTATCCCGAAGCCCTTCAGCACTGCTTATAATAGTAATCACTGGTTTGTCTTACCAAAATTGTGTAATTTAAAGGGCGCCTGATATGAAATATTGCGCGACTTTGGTTTACAAAAAGACCACCCGAAACACACGCCACCACTGATGGCTATTGTGTTTTTCATCCTTGACAAACATTAGGATTTCTTCCTATTCCAATGCTTACAGGCTTACACGTTTGTAATTTTGAATGCTTACCTGTATTCCTTTCCATTTCAGGTGGAACGGAAACGCCATGTAGGAAATGATATTGTAAATATCGTGTTTATAGACGGAGATGTGGATAAAGTTCCCAGTTTTAAGCCTTCCATGATGAAAACAAGATTCACACGTATCCTTTGCTTCGTCCCGTCATTGACATCGACACAGATGTCGAACATGTGACCATAATTTTGCACGGTAGTAGAAAATGTTGGGTCTGTGTGAACACTTGTAGCTAGAAAGCGCTTGAGGCGTAATTTCTCACTGTGCAATGTGGGCACAGGATCCGGATAATCATAAATAGACTGTGTTATTAACTGGTGAGAATTGTCTTCCTTATATTTTCGTTGACTGAGGAATACACGTAAATACCGGTTTGTACGCTGAGTATTTACACGCTGAAGTCGTACGCCGAGGGTGCAACCCGTTATTACGTTTATAATTCCATAACACAACAATACATTTAAGTATTTTTTGTAAAATAATTACAATAATATCAACACAGACTGCCTATCTAACAAGAATGCACAAATACTGTGGAAACCACAACTGAATCTTTGACTTCGTTCAGAGCAACATTGCAATATAAGCCGCGCCTATTATATTATCAAGAAACAGCAGCATGGTACTGGGCACTCGGATATTCCAGCTATAAGGCGGAGGTCTGTAAATAATCGGATCTGGGCCAAATAAACCAATGATAAACAACATGAGCATCTATCTATGCAATTTGATACGGTAACATGCGTGAACCACGTCAGCGAGCCTCACCACCTGATCCTGTTAGTCGCCTCTTACGACAAGCAAGGGTTACTGAAGACCAATTCTAACCCGGAATCTTCACGGGTATGTGAAATGTTAAAAGCAGATCAAGTGAATAGCAACTGATACTGAGGCATTGTTCTTTTCACTATCTAAGGAATTTTTGTGAGCATTTTTTTACCCTGAACCGGCAGCTTTATTATTACCGAGCAAATCTGAAAATAATACCTTTAATTCTGACTGTAACAACAGCAAGTTACACAACAACAAAATCCCTGGTATTTTCATATTACAGATATGTTAAATATCTGCAGCACGCGATGCTCGATTTCCTGATTCTGTGTTGTAATAAGACGTTGGACTGTTTATTCCTGATAGAAATTCGTGACATCGACTGAGACCTCCCGTGCATCCATCACTGTCTAATCTGATGGTGACGCTTGTCGTTGCTTAACGCCATAGGGAAAACAAGGCAGTTCACATCCGACAACAGCGGCGAAACATTTCCGATTTAATAATACGATTACGGCGTACATGTCACGACTTTTCGCAAATAATCATTGGCAACCAACGGGTTTCAGCATCACACAGTTACAGGAACTGAATTTCCGAAACTGAATTTCGGGAATAACATTAAATGGTTGTGCTAGATGAATTGCCCAGGCTCTGCCTAGAAAAAGGAAAATCAATTGAGAAGATTTAGTGATGTTGGGTAAATATTGATTTTACAGACTTTGAAAGCGTGAAACCTCTGCGGGTATATATTTTTTTATGTTCAGATACTTTTACCTCTCCGGACCCCAACAAACCTGGCACACACAGTGTAAATGCTGTTCATTATCATCGAGAAACAACGGTGAAGATTCGAGTTATATTGGTTTTCAAGCAATCCATGTTTGTCGTAAGACAACTAACGGGATCGGGTACACACCCCTGCTGATGCATCTCATCACATCCCAAATGTGTAGATCGATCCCCATGATGTCCCTAACTCCGTCATCATATATTAAAAATATTGCTAGCACCATCGTTTAAACAAAAAACGAACATTCACAGAACAAATCTCGTCAACAGCACCCGCTGTGTTTTTGTACACTCCTCTGCCTTAAATAGAAGACAAATGAACTGCCTTTCAAGATTGAATCCAATATACCTTGACTTGCACAGATATCTTTGCTGTTGTGATGTACAATAAAGACAACGATAGTTACAGGTAAGTTACACGGATATAGTGGATATTTAAGTATTTGAATTTATGTTATTTGAGCTATGTTCGTAAAATGTATACCCCTTGGAAAACTAAATATTTTACCAAGAAACATGGACACAGAGAACGAGACACGTAGTCCCTCTATTACATGCTGTAGGCAGACTAAATGTACTACCCATAAATATGGACACGTAGAATGAGACACGTAGTCCCTCTATGACATACTGTAGGCAGACTAAATGTACTACCCAGAAACATGGACACGTAGAATGAGCCACGTAGTCCCTCTAGATCTATTACATGATGATAATAGATATACAGAATGAGACTAGCGGTCACTGTTACTTTCTGTTTGCAGACTAACGGTATTTTCGGAGGAATCCGTTCCTCTGTTCGGTCCTCCCCTTCCTTCTCCCCCTGTCTTCTACAACCACCAGGAGTTCAGAGATTTCCTCCTCGTGAAATGTAAGTATGTAGTAACCTCCCATTCGTTTGACAACAATCAGGTACAATATGTGTGCATATGTATCTCAGTGATGTTTAAATGTTGCGCTACCATAACACATTTAGAATGCTTCACTAAGACTTTAATATATTGTAAACCTGAAAAAACAACTTTGTAACAAGAGTCGTATTACGCTGCTTAAAATCGCCGTTGAATGAATGAATGAAAGAATGAATGAATAAATGAATGAATGAATGAATGAAGATTGTTTTACTTTTCGACAACCATTTGATTATTTTCTATTTTCCATACACTACGAAAAGTCAGTAATAATTAACATAGAATGGAAATGCCTTCATTAAGTCGTTGCATTGTTTAAAGATGGGTTTATGATGAAAGCAAATATACGTGATATTTTCCAACTGGCGGTTTAGGATATTTCATTGCCCCATAAAGCATAATGTGTGTTGTTTTACAGTGATAAACGGAGAAAAGGCTGCCGTGAATAACCCACTGTTTGCTCAAAAGAGGGAGAGGACGCTGGAGATGCTGATACGGAACCTGTACCAGGATTACATGTCCGAGTCAAACAAGGTATCAATATTTTATTTTATTTTATTTTATTTTATTTTATTTTATTTTATTTTATTTTATTTTATTTTATTTTATTTTATTTTATTTTATTTTATTTTATTTTATTTTATTTTATTTTATTTTATTTTATTTTTTATTTTATTTTATTTTATTAGCAAACCAGTCATCATTCAATTTGATGTTCATTAGTGTAAACAGGTAGCCGACCAACAATACAGTTTTAGAGCACACAAAACATCTTTCTTCTCGAGTGGCTGGATGTGAGTTGCAATGCGATGTATAACACTGTCACAGCCAGAATAATTTTACACGAAAATGCAGTGCATTTAATTCATCATGTGCGGACAGAATGTGATAATTATATAACTGCGTATACTTTGTATATTACAAACAATTATCGGTCTGAGAATATCGAAAAATATCTACCTTGTAAGATGTTTTAGTGAGGGTTACAAAACACTAACTCTAGTCAGGCAAATCCCAGTCTGGCTCTGTGAGAGACCTATTTTGACAGAGTCTGACTATTTCTGGCTAAGTGAGAGGACACCCTTACAACAAAGTGACTAACGTCCTCATGGAGATCGATTTCACAATAGTATATAGAGATTACTAAACGAGTGTCTGTCAGATACCATTTATCTTACAACGAGTTGTTTCAAAACGTATTTAACGAGCGAAAGCGAGTTAAATACGTTTTGAAACAACGAATTGTAAGATAAATGGTATCTGACAGACACGAGTACAGTAATCTGTTTCTTACACACCATTAAATCGCACCATTTTATGGTCGAATAGATTCAAATTTCATGTTTTCTCATCGTAGGTGCGCAATAATACACAACACAACGTTTATGAATGAGTGACGTCACTTGGCTTCCTAATCACTACTCCTCCCCATAGTGACCCTCCACAAAAAAGTTTCTGCCACCTCTTCGCATCATCAAGGCAATAGTGATAATGATAACTAGATAAGATCACAGAAAATTAATTAAACCCTCTAAAACAATGATGTTACCGTGCAAATGTGGATGATTCTAATTCTTGCAAGCGTAAAATATTTGAGCGAGTGACGTCATCGTTATCGCTTGGTGGTTGTCGTCATCGGAAGATTGTTTTGGATATCTCTGCACATTCGGGAACTGGTACTTGTGTACCAGTTTACGTTCAATGTTCTCCCATCGACCGGAGCCAAAACTACTGAGTGTGTGTCATTAGGTGCACCCAGTGTGCTTGAATGTGACATTGCTGAGGTTACGTTCACTGTCAATGGGGGACTACTCTTCTTCGCCACAATCTTCTCGTTTTCCCGAGCGAGAAACTGCCACTTGGAATGTAATGGAATTTACGGAGTTTTCAGTATGAAATGTGAGTTGATTACATCCTGTAAGTTATCAAGACATAAACTTTTCATTATCATGCGTAGGAGGAATATCTTGAGCAATGACTAATGTATAGATCAACCGTTCCTGTACAAGTTCGATTGAATAGAAAGGACGTGTGCCGCCATTTGCACTCATGAAGCCTTGCAAAACGTACCATGTTGTACATTGTTTCAACGAGTGTGTTTTGGTTCAGATTGTCATGAGTGAATTTGATAACATTGGAATCACATAGTATCTCGGAGCTGGAAGTGGGTCTTCATCATGTGTATCAGTGAAAAATGTCATCTTCATCAATGCATCAAAGAAACAACGAGGCAAATCGATCTCAAAATGGACAGGCACTGACGTTATCGTGTCAGGTATTTTTTTGCAAGACGACACATGACACTTGTCGCATCTCTCCAGTAAAAGTACCAGTGTTGTACATTTTGAATATTCGAAGGGAATCAAGGGCTTTATCTCTAACGGTGATTTTCACATAATTGTTTACACAGGTATCACTGATTGTTGGAGCCATTTTGAATTCATGACTTGAAATCAAAAGTTTTAATAAAAGGAATTAGAAAATAAATAGATTTGTGTTATATTTATTCTACTTGTGACTCATTGTATAAATACCTGTTTATGTTGCAATCGCGAAAATAACAGGTAGGTGTAAAGGGGTATTTTTTGCACGAGTAACAGGTTTCTGTTCGATTGAAGCACGAGTAACTTATCAATGAATTTTATTCAGGAAAGTAGTCCGTCATACCCTGACCCTAGGTCATCACCATGGAGTAGCCAATCACGGGATTAGAAATCGATCTCACACATATGTGTGATACCAGTTTTCTCACATGGGTTTCTCACCCACGGGTGTGTAAGAAAACCGCAGAATGCTGTATCTTTGGTCGGAATAGACGAAGCATTGACGATAAAAGTGGTCGGTTATTGAAGAACCGCTACTGCTACTTGTTTCCACTTGTTGCCAAACAGAATATGCCGCTATTGCTAATTCAAGCCAGTTAGAATAGGGTCAATGAACCAACACAGCTTATGTAAGCCTGTTGTAGCGAGAGGTCAATGAACTGATACTAGTACTTATTTAATTCAGTTATGGAGAGCCGGTTTCAGTGCACTCACGTTGCTTATGTAATTTTAAATCTGTTGTGGGACTGACATTTAGCCATAGAAACACAGTTATCGTATTTAATTACACAAAAAATATGTTCATCTACATAACAAGTCAAAATAGAGCTTATAAAATTATTTATGTCTGCCTAGAACTGAGGTAATTCTAGAGTTGCGAAATGATTCTAGGCTTGAGTAGGGCTCTTATTTAATATATTCTCAAGGGTCTGGGAGACATACTAGCCTGCTGTACAGATCGGATTTCAATTTACCGTTACTGCTAATTTAAGCCTGTTGTTGAGAACTGATGTCAGTCTGACGTGTGTGGCGCTGAACCGATGCTGTCGACCATTATGACTTATGTCAACTGTGATAGAGGCTGAGTGACTGTGTACTACCAAGTTTAATCTCATCCTGTTATATAGAGCCGCGACAAATGTGTGTATGCGACAGACGGCGCGTGTTTATATACCGATAAAACTAATGGTAACATGTGACAGACATTTTGTTAATGTACCGCTAGGACTAATGCACATATGCGATAGACCGCGTGTGTTTATATACTGCTACAAGTAAGGCAAATATATGGACGACTTTTGTTAATGTACGACTACGATGAATGCAAATATGTGGCAGACCGTGTATTGTGTACAACTACGATTAATGCAAGCACGTGTATTAAAGTGCCACTACGCGACAGAACAAGGTTACTCCTTCAGTGGTTCTGTGATGGCCAGATGGTGTTCAGATAGCCCGAAACATTACAAACATATTGTTTTCAACATCAGCAAGAACATTTGGAAAGTCTTAAGTACACGAAGCATAATTCCTATGACATGAAATGTGATACTGCCGAGTGCTCTCGCGTATCAGTAGAAGATGATGAACGTGAAGATGTTGGTTGGAGACGTTGCCAACGGATTAAGTAGTATTACACTACATCAACTAGCCCATGGCAACGCACACTCCACACACTTGCCAACGCCATCGTCATCTACAGACTACACCGGAGTCAAATCTGCTCCTCTTCTCTTCTCCCATTGTCATGGAGACTAATAGTTTTGAAATCGCCATCTCTCTGCCCACTTAGCTGACTGTTCCCAAACCAAACAGATATTTATTTGAGGTGGCTGGTGATAAGTCACGCGGCATACTGTCTTAAGGATGATGTAACTGTCTGAGAACATTAAGGGGATCTTATTGATAAGTCTGTTTTTGACCTTCTGTTTCGGATCCGAGTCACGAAAATCACGTACATCATTGCCAATTTCAGTAGACTGTCCGACATTATGCTCAGTGCTAGTTCTTAAATGTTACGACACGAAATTGAGAAATCCAATTCATCCGAGACTAACGGACTTTATCTTTCAGGGCAGGCTCTAGTTGCATATATTTATGGCGACCCTTTTCCAACACTCAGTAGCTTGTTGCTGGAGCTGAGACCCTTAGGCGAGGCAGAAACTTATGATCGGAGAAACGTGGATTTGAGATTCTTCCTGATCTCGGTTTTATATTTATCGTACTCGTACTACGCCCGCACCACTCACTCACTCACCCACTCACTCACTCACTCACTCACCCACTGCGTTTTGGATCATAACAATCTGAATTGTTTTCAGCCTAAAGTCATGCTTTGATAACGTTTCAAATCCAATTTTCATTCATATACTTTCTTTTGTCCGCCAGCTAACGTTCTTCAGATATCGTAGTTTCGCTTCATGTCCATGTTGATTATGGTTAAAGAAAATCTTTATTATTAATTGAATTCTACTTGGAATTGTCAAATTCAATCACACGCCCTATAAAATAATCCGATAAAAACTCACGACCACATATCTCAACGATTATAGAGAATGCTAAAATGTCATAAAGTTGGCATGTAATTTCCATGACTTTTAAAAATATTGGCTTTACATTTCCCTGTGGAATACCAGTTATAATTATACCTGTTATTGGGATTCCACTGTGCGCCATCGTGAGACTTGATTCACAGACTTAAGTAGCAAATCTCACATCACAAGCCAATGCTAACTTAATAAATCAGTTTAATTGTTAAATGTAATTAGTTAGATGAACCGAGCCAATGTTTTTGTCTTAATATCATATTTTTTCTTCTTTTGTGTCTTTGTAACTGAATGTAATATAATAAAATCGTATGCAGTTTCATTTTCAATAGTCTGCAAAATGACAGTTCAAATCCGTAGATTAGTTCTATGCTGAGCAAAATAAGTTAAGGATAATGACGTTTTTGCGAATATCGTTTATGACATTGGGTACGCTGTGTCCAGTGCTAAACTATTTCCCAAAACATTTCTATACATTTCTATACATTAGGCTTTAAATTTATTTTTATTGGAAGTATAAATGTTGTCGGTTTGCAAGATGGCAATATAAACAATGGATTGAACACATGGTGTAAAATGGTGTGATATCATATTTTGTTTTCGTCCAATCGAAATAATTTCAAGTTTAATGAAACAAATTCGATACAGTTTTGGCAACGAAGAAAGCCTTTATTACCACACATTCATTCATTCATTCATTCATTCATTCATACATTCATTCATTCATTCATTCCTCTACCGACAATAATTAGGAATAATCATGGTCTTGACGTCTATATTTACGACCACTGTCTGTTTGTAAACTATTAAATCTTTGATTTTCTGCTAATTACAAAATCAAAGCAAGCTACATGTACAGTACTCAACAAAGACTTGTGGCACATTCTTGACTCTGCAACCGGTGCATTCTCGAGTGTCTACTGCCCTGTAGGTGAACTTACTCAAGTATCTGCAGCGCTCTAAGGAGAACTTCCTTAACAGGATTGTCATGTCGTTCGTTGTTCTCGTATCACTGTCCAGTTTCTCAGAATTGTCATTTCTTGTCAACAGAACAATATGCTGTATCGACGGGCGTTCAGTGACGTCATTCAGGACGTCCACGGCTCGCGCCGGAAGGAGGACGCACGCAGAGCTGAATTCGTGCTTGTTGGTCAAGTAGGTATTTCCGGTCAGACTTCTGACTATATTATCATAATGCCGATCCCGACGACAAGCTCATGCGGTGATACAGTTCATCTGCAGGGTGTCAACTCGGCTTTCTGATATGGCATTTAGCAGTCGCCTGACTCTTCGTCTGAGGCATGATAGGTCTGTGATGTGAGCTACATCTGTGACATGATCTTGGTCTGTGATGTGAGCTACATCTGTGACATGATCTTGGTCTGTGATGTGAGCTACATCTGTGACATGATCTTGGTCTGTGATGTGAGCTACATCTGTGACATGATCTTGGTCTGTGATGTGAGCTACATCTGTGACATGATCTTGGTCTGTGATGTGAGCTACATCTGTGACATGATCTTGGTCTGTGATGTGAGCTACATCTGTGACATGATCTTGGTCTATGATGTGAGCTTCATCTGTGACTTAGGGACGGTGGGGTAGTTTCGTGGTTAAAGCGTTCGCTCGTATTGCCGACGGCCCGGGTTCGATTCCTCACATGGGCACAATATGTGAAGCCCATTTCTGGTGTTCTCCGCCGTGATATTGCTGGAATATTGCTAAAAACGGCGTAAAACCCAACTCAATCACTTAATCATCCGTGACTTAACCTTTTGTCAACTGACAAGCTTCATTTGTGATGTGAGTCTCACCTTTGATGTGAAGAACATCTGTGGTGTGCTACATCTTTGATGAATGTTTCATCATCACATTTGTGATGTCATCTTCATCAGTGATGTGAGCCTCATCTTTGATGCAAGGTACATTTGTGATGTCACCTTCATCAGTGATGTGAGCCTCATCTTTGATGCAAGGTACATTTGTGATGTCACCTTCATCAGTGATGTGAGCCTCATCTTTGATGCAAGGAACATGTGATGTCATCCTCATCTTTGATGCAAAGGTAACATTTGTGATGTCATCTTCATCAGTGATGTGAGCCTCATCTTTGATGCAAGGTACATTTGTGATGTCATCTTCATCCGTGATGTGAGCCTCATCTTTGATGCAAGGTACATTTGTGATGTCATCTTCATCCGTGATGTGAGCCTCATCTTTGATGCAAGGTACATTTGTGATGTCACCTTCATCCGTGATGTGAGCCTCATCTTTGATGTGAACCCCACATTATTTGCAAAAACAAACTGATGTACGAATTGCTTGAATAAAACTTGCTGGGATGTCTATTTTCCCGATCCCTTTCATGATTAGCTTTGTTCGTGGTTCACTCCCGAATATTGACAGGCCGCCTTCATGCAGATGAAATATCACTGTGTGCATTGTTAATCAACAAACAGAGAAGCACACATCATATGGAAATTAGTGATTAAGAACGAGGAGTTGTTAACAACGTGTAATTTGTGTGTTTCTTATACCATGCTTTTACCCCAGGGTCTGAAAGTGAAAACAATCGAGAAAGGTGATGCTCCCACGAGCCTCATCACTTCCGGTTTGTCCAGTCTACTACGGCGAGAGGTGAGATCCCAGCAATATCAATATCAGTATCGCTGTGTTACTGAAATATGCGAAGAATAAAATTGATAATTATTATCGTACCTATTGTTATACCATCAAATAAGCTGACAATACCGAGGTCTCCGGCTAAGATTGTTGTGCCCAGCAGCCAATGCTTGCTGTAAGAGGCGAATAAAGAGATCGGATGTAAGATTCGCCGACGTATCCAAGTTGCGTAGATCGATGCTCATGATGTCAATCACTGGATTGTCTGATCCAGACTCGATTATTTACAAACCGCCGTCATGTAGCTGGAATATTGCTGACTGTGGCAACGAAAACGTTGATTACCAAAAGCTATTTATCAATGCAATTTTGCCCTGCTCTGGAACTTATATTTTAACGCTTGTTTCAGCCCTGGGACCCCCAAAAGTGTTACAGCGAGTTTGCTCATCACATCGTCTGTGGGGATTCGTGGGGTGAGTGAAAAGGGGATTTGACCTTTTTCTGATTAAAACCAGTGAAAATCATTATTATGATAATACCATTCCAGCCTATTCTTTCAAATTTTGTCACTTCGCTGAACGTATGTTTCCTTTTATCGGGAGAGTTTTCTATTTATAATTAGGCTTTAAACTGATTCAAAATTTTAAAATGTCTGTTTATTTTTACTTACGTTATAGGAACACACGCGGAACAATTTGCGTTAATTTAAAATTGAATTTGATGATCTAATTAATATCTTTTCTCTTCAATCTATCGCGGTGGTTTGTGATGTAGACAGTTAGAAGACTAATTTAAGAATACGCAAGTTTGGAGACAGAATCAGTATAGTTCTTTTTATTAATTTGAAGTCATCGACAAAGCGATCCCTCCTACGCTTTAAAGAATTACTTTTAGCCTATGGCCTACATGTAACAAATTAAACAATGGACTAGAAATCTTTTTTTTTCAAATGTGCATTTTTAACAAATATTGACAGCGTCGTTTGAATGATTTTTAAACTTATTTATTTGTTGAACTCATTAATATGTAGGCCTTTGTGCTGGATTAATTGTAGATTATGAACATGTATATGTCAATACTGACACCTGTCAATCAATGTCTTGTAGGTGACAAGTTGATCATCTCCACGGAATCCGGAATCATGGTGCTCGAGGGTGTGTATCTTATTCCGTCAATGTGTCACATGTGTGACACGAACTGTCCACAGACGGGATCACATAAAATGCTTAACGTTTGTCCTCAAGGACGATTTCTATAGATATGTTTAGCTACGAATGAGTTTCCTATATCTAGCTACAAGGCAAAGATTCATGTAAATACACCGTAGTGCCTCAAATCCTGCCGTATAAACGATCCTATAACAAACGAACCCGAAGAACAGCTCAGTGAAGTAACCTTCCTGAAATCACTGAAATTAGGAAGAAGTGTATATGAATGTACGAAGACCAATCTTCGAGTCCCTCAAGAGGTGGTTTAATGCATTTGGTCAATTATGCCAAAACATATCGGTTTATTATCATTTATCAGGGTACTTAACATTCGGGTCAATTTCTGTGTAACGATGACATATTTAGCAATGGTCTTACGTGTTCTGTGTTTTCGAATTTCTATATCATTTCAAATGACAAATAATCGAATTATTCATATTAAAAAGATGATTCAATATTCGCATGTACATGCACAATAGTGCGGAGAGAATTATTTAGAATCATCACTACACACATGATCTGAATAGTGTGACGTCATATTTACTGTTTTGTTTATTGATTATTTCAGAGGGGCTTCAACCACGCACCATCTTTGAGAAGACCGTGTCAGTCCGGCAACTGAGTGTTGTAGAGGCTCATGGGCTTCTCATCATGAGGACTGAAAAAGGTATTAAACGTTTGATGTGGAGCTGCAGTCACTACACGAATTATATGCCTATTTCACTTGGAAAATACTTGTGAACATCATCCGTGAACACTAGAGCATAATCTCGAAGAGATCAATGCATTCATCATATCTTTACAGCCTTGTAAATTCAATAAAGATGGTTATGTTTCGAGCAGTATGTGCAAATATATGCATAACTAACTTATTATATTATATCCTTAATATTGCACTTTTTTGCGTATAAATACGCATGTAAAATTAACAAAGTCTAGTGAGTCTTATGTATCCTGTATTTACTTAAAGATCTCATGTGCATATCTATTGTGCATATATATTTATCAACCATACTGAAATGTACCAGTCGGCTCTGCGTATCAGTTGATATATATAGCTGAAAAACCGAAACAACTCTAATTATCTTCCTGATGCCATATTCGGAGTAAACTGTTTCTCATCTAATTTAGTCATGTATCTGTGTATAATTACACCAGCTTATCTAGATACCATACTATTCCGGACATAGTAATCCGGACACCCTGTTAGTCTGAGCACCGTTTCTCCTTACGGAGCAGGTCCAAATATATGAAGGGACATAACTCCATATCCATGGTTCATAAATGCGGGAGAAAATCATAGTCCGGATTAACAGGGTGTCAGTATTCCCGAGCTCGTACTGGGCTTGTAGTCTGCATCGTTCTTCCGGAGCTGTAATACGTGTTATTTAACTATTTAATTATTCGCTACCTACCGTAACCATTCATCATAAAGGTAAAATAACTTACATGTGTGAGGGAATTACACAGTAGTTAAGACACCAGGTGTCGGGAAAGAGTAAGCGTGCCCCGCCCTCCCTGGCCAATCAGTGTGTTGCTAAGTGTGAAGAGACCTGCAGATTATTCAGAAGCATAAACATTTATATGGGTTTTTGTTCTTCAGGCAAAGACGGAAAAATCAACGTTTTTCGTCTGACGGATTTTGAGGGTGAACAGAACGAATCCATCACGCGCACGAAGTCTGAATGTCGTGAACACAAACTGGAGAGAACAAAAGGTAAAACTATAAATTGTTCTTGCTTGCTAGTTGTTTAACGCCACAGTCAGCAATATTCCAGCAATGTGGCGGTGATCCGTAAATAATCAAGTATTTACTACACGATCAAGTGATTGACAGCATGAGCATCGATCTGCGCAATTGGTATACGATGACATGTGTCAACCAAGTCAGCGAGTCTGACCACCCGATCCCGTTAGTCGTGTCTCACGACAAACATGGGTTGCTGAAGATCAATTCTATCCTGGATCTACACAGGGGAGACAAGCAGGGGTTGTTGAAGATCAATATAACCCGAATCTTTATGTTCTTTACGATACTGAACAGTAATTACACAGCATTTGCCGGGGGCCCAATCCATAAAACATTTGTACCTCTCCGTCATTCATAAATCTATGATAAACTATATAGTTACGATAAGTCGTAACATTACGAACGCTTTATGGATCGAGGTCAAGGCTTGCAGGTGATCCCCTGAGATACCATTATCCACGACAAGCATGGGTTGCTGAAGACCAATTCTTAACGGATTTTCACTTGAATTAATTTCATTGAATGTGCCAATGGCACGCACACAACTCGTTCATAACATAAAAATTCCTTTCATTCCTTGATGATGGTTTTGATGATTGCAATGATCGAGTCATCATCAGCTTATTGCATGTTCTCGTTATAATCATGTGATATCATTAACTACCCTTTAACACTACGTGCACTCTGAGATCTCACTTGAAATATCATGATATCATCACTAAGAATAACAATCCATCCATATGTCATACGCCCGTGTAGCTTTGAATATATTATATTGATTACAATGCAAGTATATTACGAAGCTCGTGTATCACATAGCCCTATGTCACTATGAAATCAGATTCATGTACCACTGATGAACGTATTAACACTTATGAACGCCTTAGCTAAAGATATGGAATCATAAGACCTTATATAGGTATCACATGCTGTCACATAAACGTTACATAATGATTGTTATCCTCACAATCCCTTGAAATCGCCCTCAATCCAATATTATCCTCAAAATCCCTTGAAATCGCACACAATCCCATATCCACCACAAGCCCTTGAAACTACCACAATACAATGCTATCCGCTAAAATCCATTGAAACCACCCACAATCCCATGATATCCCCCACAAATTGGGACAATCCTCTGTAATCACCCGCAACATAATGACATCCATCACAATAACTTGAAATCGCCCCCAAGATAATGACATCCAACGTATTCCCTTGAAATCACCCACAATCAAATGATATCCGCCACAATCCATTGCAATCATCCACAATCCCATGATATCACTCACAATCCTTTTAACGCTCACTCACATGATATCACCCACCCAATAAAATCGCTCCCAATGTGCTTAAATCCATTGGATACTCTCAAGCCTTTAGATCACTAACACTGAAACGTCATTTACAACCCTATTACATCAGCTGCTGTCCAACTGTATCCCAAGTACCTGCCTCAACATCCTTATACAAATGTCTATTGTGTTTTCCCCAGGGTGCCATCTTTACTCGCTCAGCAAGCCCGGGGGTAGTCATCTCCGAATGGTGGTTGCAGTTGCCAAGCGACTGTTAGTATTTCACTGGAAGCACTCTGCTGCCTGGTCCGCCTGGTGTCCTTCCGTCGACCTTGACACTATAGATGGTTTCACCTTCATCAGGGTAGGTTCTTTCTGTACCAGCCCTAATATGATTACCGTCACTGTTGACGTTGTTAAAGTACACATGCGCCGTCATCCTATTACAAGTGTTTCCCTGGCCATCTGGGACGCCGAGTAGGTGATCTAAATGGATCGTTTGAAGTGCTGTTAAATGGGATTTATCCACAGCGTTGCTTGGGTTAAGAGTTCAAGTACAAGTCGGATTTCTGTGTGTTCAGGTGTTGAGACAAAAAATATTTATATGATTAAGTATAATCCTTTTGTAACAATATGTATCGTCTGTGTGTGTGCGTGTGTGGTATGTGTGTGTGTGTGAGTGTGTGTCTGATTGTCTGAGTGAGCGTGTGAGACAGCGTGTGTGCGCGTGTCTGTCTGTATGACTGTATATATATGACTGTATGTCTGTGAGTGAGTGTGCATGCGTGCGCGTGCGTGTGTGTCTGACTGTAAGAGTGAGTGAGTGTTTGAGAGTGTATGTGTCTGTGTGTGCGTGCGTGCGCGCGCGCGTGTGTGAGTGAGTGTTGGTGGCAGGGTGGCTACTGAGAGGTGGGCAGGGTGATGGCGGAAACCAAATCCACAGTATCCCAGTTTGAACAGTGAATATTAGTTTACGGCAAGAGGAATCTGTATCCGCGGATAGTTATTATCTGGCGTCAGCGTTTTGTAATTGCCAAATAGATTTTTGTTCTGATATAAAATTGGCATAAAACATATCGTCGCGTGTGATGATAAAATATGCTTTCAAAACACTGACTTAGCGTAACAACAGAAACAGAGTTCCGAGCCCTCACTATCTTTAATCTTGAAAACCGTCATTCAATGGTACAAAATAATGTTGTAAAATATAACCCCGAAGAGTTATCAAGAAACACTGAAATCTCCTTTTTTTAATTAACGGATAAAAATGAGTGAACGAGATGGCGTTAACGTCGTTTCAGCAACATTCCACCATATCTCGACTGACGTAAGACATAAGAAATTACGAGAAACCAACCCAGCGTGGCAAACAACCGCTTTAGCCACGAGGTTATTCCTTTGGGAATACTCTTATGTCAGCTTGTATTTTTTTTATCATCCAAAGAGTCCCTTATCCGCTGCCTGTTTGGAACGATAGAATCGTAAATGTATTAGCGTAATTTCATCAGGGAGACAATGCCGTCAATGACAGATAAACAGACGCCAAGGAGCCTCCACGCGTCTAGGGTAAACACTTGCTCCGATCAATGACTCGCTCGTTGAAGAACAGCCACAAAACGCATATGTTGTTGACAATGAGGATAAACAATTATAATCCGTCGATAATTCTATACACAATAAACATCCTGATCCAATTTCCAAAATTGTTTGTAAAATGATAATATGATTTATAAATATGAATAAGGATTGAGCGATGCGTTTTATGCCATGGCTGCCGAATCCGGAAATCGATTTTCCACGAGGACAAAACTAAATAATTACTGATCGTATTTTAGTTCGCCTGTAATATCCACACGTGTGATAATGAAACTACACTTTTTAGTGTTTAAACACATATTTCGTGCAATACACGAATATGTTAATATATTTCCTAGTTTGTAAAGGAGTTTTCATGAGTTTGTATACGTATAACCAGTCTTCTGATTTGCTCAGGGTAGGTACGGGTGTATGGCTGGTCTTGTAGCCTAAGGCACCACAGTTAGCTGTGCAGAGTTACCTACCTTAATCATGATAGGACCCGTTGATGGGTCTTCGAATCCCAGCGTCTCCCGTATGGTTATATTGACTGCGGGCGTGTTACCGTGGTATCTTCACATTACTCCCAATGCGACTACTCCCAATACGACTACTCCCAATATGACTAATCCCGATATGACTAATACTACTCCCAATACGACTACTCCCCCAATACGACTACTCCCAATACGACTACTCCCAATACGACTACTGCCAATATGACTACTCCCAATATGACTAGTACTACTCCCAATACGACTACTCCCAATACGACTACTCCAATACGACTACTCCCAATACGACTACTCCCGATATGACTAGTACTACTCCCAATACGACTACTCCCAATACGACTACTCCCAATATGACTAGTACTACTCCCAATACGACTACTCCCAATATGACTAGTACTACTCCCAATACGACTACTCCCAGTATGACTACTCCCAATATGACTAGTACTACTCCCAATACGACTACTCCCAATACGACTACTCCCAATATGACTAGTACTACTCCCAATACGACTACTCCCAGTATGACTACTCCCAATATGACTAGTACTACTCCCAATACGACTACTCCCAATACGACTACTCCCAATATGACTACTCCCAATACGACTACTCCCAATACGACTACTCCCAATACGACTACTCCCAATACGACTACTCCCAATACGACTACTCCAATACGACTACTCCCAATACGACTACTCCGAATATGACTAGTACTACTCCCAATACGACTACTCCCAGTATGACTACTCCCAATATGACTAGTACTACTCCCAATACGACTACTCCCAATATGACTACTCCCAATACGATTACTCCCAATATGACTACTCCCAATACGAGTACTCCTAATATGACTACTCCCAATATGACTACTCCCAGTATGACTACTCCCAATATGACTAGTACTACTCCCAATACGACTACTCCCAATATGACTACTCCCAATACGACTACTCCCAATACGACTACTCCCAATATGACTACTCCCAATATGACTACTCCCAATATGACTACTCCCAATACGACTACTCCCAATATGACTAGTACTACTCCCAATACGACTACTCCCAATATGACTACTCCCATTTTGTCTACTCATTAACATAAACATATAATGGATCACCCCTACACTTAATAATGTACTGTACCTGTATAGTTGATTACTCCCAGTTTGTCTACTCTTTGAAATAAACCTATTAGGGAGAGCTCCGCTACTATTCGTATTTGAATCATTAGAAGCTAAGTGAATCAAGGATCTTGTGATCATCCATTGTTTGTTTTGATATTTGGAGATAACTCCGTTAAATATAAAAAAGACGTCCTAAGCGACCAGGACTATACCCTTGCAAGGTTGCTTTCAACACGAAGTTGTCACAATTCAACGTTATTTCGGAGTTGGTCCAACGTTAAGCTAAATGCAATAGTCATGAGATTCTGTTCAACAATGCCTTACACCTAACTGGCTTACTGTTATTTTCAGGAATTACAAGCCTTTGAAGTTTCCAGCATGATAACGCTGATTGACGGCATGAAGGGAGATAACCACATCTGTATCGGATACAAGAACCAGTATGATCTGATCAATGAGAAGAATGGAGACACCTTGCAGCTGTATCACGTGGAATCCAACAAGGTACGTCACAGCTTTACACAAGTACATGTATGTACCTCGGCCTCAGTACCTCAGATTCGCCATGGAATGTTAGCCATGGTTCATTAGATAATCTGGAAGTTTCATATAAAAAAATCCAAACACATTTTTCCAGTAAAGACTGGAAGAATACTATGTTGTTCGTTGTTAATGGGATTGGAATACTCCTGCATGATAGCGGCTGATATACCTACCGCAATATAGAACAGCTAGAACCGTAAAACATATGATTTCTAAATACCACATTGGCTGTGTAGGTTAAAGATTAGCATCGCACGCTATTTCAGGCATGCATATTCATAACACGAAGGACCCTTGAAGATCCGGGTTAGAATTGGTCTTCTTTAACCCATGCTAGACGTAAGAGGCGACAAACGGGATTGGGTGGTCGCGGACTTGGTTGACACATGTCATCGGTTCCCAATTGCGTAGATCGATGCTCATGATATTCATCATTAGATTGTCTGGTCTAGACTCGATTATTTACAAACCGCCGCCATATAGCTGGAATATTGCTGAGTGCAGCCCTAAGCAAGAAACAACAACACCCCCTAACACGAGGCGAGCAAGACAATTATACTTAACGTCACCGTCTCGGTACCCTCACGTCCCTTGGCAAATAGGGACCAACTACGACTGATTTAGTTCACGTGTTACATTGGATCTGCCAATCTTTGGATATCGCTCGATGACTACCTCTTAACTGCGTGTATTTGTTCCAGGTGAATTTAGTTGCGGCGATTGACATCTACGAGGATGATGAAGCTGAACTCATCTTATGTTACAACCGTACGTTTCCAAGATGCATTTATATTTCAAACTTCAAACCTCCGACACAGGTGGATGTTCTTAACCAGAAAACACAATCGATGACTGAAAGTGCTCTGTCAGCATAACATACACAGTGTTCAATGACGCTGTTTTCTATTCCAAGATAGCATATAAAAAAGATGTTGTTTCCTCTTTGAACTTAAATGCCTAGAAAGACAACCAGAAAGCAATCAAACGGTAATGTACAACCACTGTCCTTTTAATGGCCTCTTTCACGTCGAACATGAACAATAATCGTTTGTGTTTTGAGAAATATAATTGTTTTACATTTTAGCCGGTGCATTTGATGTTGTCGTTAAATTTACCGTATTTGCCATGCATAAAGAAGAGAATTCCATGCATCAATCATCCATCAGTATAATGGCCATGAGTTTAGAAACATTAACATTGCGTTGTAGGGAAATAATCTGAAACATGAGATTGCCTGTTCTTGGGCCATTGGCCATGCCAACTCTTTCTAGAACAGATATTGAATTTGCTATAGCCTTGGCGTGAAACATATTGACATCTGATCAGTTGATTAATTGATAACAGCAGGTAGACATTTCGACAGCGCTAAAACATTTAAAACACGATACTGTTCAGTATCTTTGAGTTTAATTAATTACAATACAATCGGCAGGCCCCCTTCGGTGAAACATGAAAATGCAAATGAATTGTTTACCTGAAACAACATATGGTAGAAGTTGAAAAAGGGAATTACATCGGATATCATATTTGTCACGTCAAATTTGGAAACCACTCACCTCATATTCCACGAAGCTGAAAACTTAGAAACCTGATTCAAACTTTACTATCAAATTCATGTGTGCCTGTTATTGAATGAAACTACAATTTAGTCCAACTGATTGAAGGCTATGGTGAGCAGGTGGCCTAGTGGGTAAATCGTTCGCTTCAAGGTATTAAGTAAGACCCGGGTTTGATCCCCTTCAAGTATACAATGTTGTATTTTACTGGTATAACTACGTATTAACGCTGACACTGTATAGTAGGTGTATGTTTAATTCCGGAGATCAAGGCACACCCACCCCTGTACCCGTGAAGATCCGGGTTAGAATTGATCTTCAGCAAACAATGCTTGTCGTTAGAGCCGACAAACGGGTATGGGTGGTCAGGCTCGCTGACTTGGTTGACACATGTCATCGTATCCTAATTGCGTAAATCGATGTTCATGATGTTGATCACTGGATTGGCTAGAATATTACACCTGCCCTGGTTGAAAGAGAATGTTTTCATCTAATTCCAAATCCAAATCGGTCACTACGTTATTAATATGTTGGTATAAATATAAAGCATGATTATTGCACGTGTCATACTATCCCTAGTTCCATGTGAATCTTGCATATGTGTCCAGTTCTATTAATGTTTTATGCAATGCTGTTCCAGATGTCAGCCACTTCCAGAAACTGAAGGAAGAACAGTGTCATGATTTCGACTTCCACTGGAATTCAGAGCCCCTCTCTATAGGTACGGCGGTAAAAACATAACCCGAGTCCGATATAAACATAATGTGCACGAACACCTGGTGTCATCACATGCTTTTCATTAAATGTTCATGAACTAGTTTACTCTTTATGCCATAATAAGCTGTTTGACGACTGGTTATTCTTTGCATTGAAGTTTCAGTTTTAGATTAATATTTTACAAAATCATAGCTCATGAAAAAACTTTGGACAGTACAACGCATCTGCGCAACGAAAATGAGGTAGAATATTGTTGGTAACATTTTTATGTAAAGCCAGGTTTGAATGATTAATAAATACACTATGTATATCATAAATATATATTGTATATGTTTACATTTCATGGTTAAGTTCATGAAGAGGCAGTGGGATAGAGGAGTGGTTAAAGCGTTCGCTCGGCACGCAGAACACCCGGGTTCGATTCCCCACATGGGTACAATGTGTGATGCCCATTTCTGGTGTCCCCTCCGTGATATTGCTGGAATATTGCTAAAAGCGGCGTAAAACTAAACTCACTTACTCATTACATTTATATACGTCAGGGGTTGTTGAATACTTTCAGAATTATCCCTCGTCTGTAACATGACGCATACTTTGAGTGAGTGAGTTTAGTTTTACGCCACACTCAGCAATATTCCAGCTATATGGTGGCGGTCTGCAAATAATCGAGTCTGGACCAGACAATCCAGTGATCAACATCATGAGCATCAATCTGCACAATCGGGATACGATGACATGTGTCAAGCAAGTCAGTGAGCCTGACCACCCGATCCCATTAGTCGGCTCTTACGAGAAGCATGGGTTACTGAAGATCAGTATTCTAACCCGGATCTTCACGGGTCCGCATACTTTTGGGGTTGTAGCAGGCTGGTTGAAACGGATGCATGTTTGAGCAACGAATGATACAGCACTGCTTTAGAAGCAATCTTAACTCAGTGTAATGATTTTGTAAATAATTATTGTTTCCAGTTTGTGCCTTTCCGTATATAATGGCCTTCACTCCCGACACTATTGAAATTCGCCTCATCATCAACGGAAATCTCGTTCATACCATGACCATGCCGGACCTCACGCTCATTACATCAAAGGTATGCAAATTTGTTTGTTTGTTTGGTTGTTTAACGCCGTCTCAATCCAGTGATCGACATCATAAGCATCGATCTGCGCATCAACCAAGTCAGCGACCCTGAACACCCAATCCCGTTTGCCTCCTCTTATGGCAAGCATGGGTTGCTGAAGACGTGTTCTAACCCGGATCTTCACGGGTTTGTACAATAGTGGAGGTGTAGAGCCGTCACACAGGATCTCAGTTATGTGAGGACGTCACTTAATGTCGGGCTGGCGTTTGTGTGACAGGGCTATAACCTCTAGAATTCTCTTCAAATCGGTGTTGAACACAAACACCCATTCACTGGCGTATCTCCAAGCATTATGCCGTGTATTGCCATAAGTACTGTAGAGAATAACCGAGAAAACTATACTGGATAAAAATAGTTAGGGATATATGTACATTTTGAAATTATGATTAATGATCTTACTTATTTTGTCCAGTATATTAGCATATTGTCACGAAAACTATGGCGTAATCAATCGTACTATTGCGTATTGCCATGGATATACTTCAGCGTTTTGCCACAAGTACTTTAAGTTTCACCTAAGAATGTTATAGAATGTTGCCACGAATACTACTGACTATTATTTTGAATACGGTAACGTATTGCCATAAATACCATAACGTAATTCTACAAATACTATAGCGTATTGCATAGTACACTGTAGCGTATTGCCTTGTACGCTATTGCGTAATGCTTAGGATGCTTAAGCCACAAATACTAGACTAAGTGCATATAACGGGTAATGTTTTATAATATTGCCACGATTATCACTGTAGCATATTGCCACGATTATCACCGTAGCATATTGCCACGATTATCACTGTAGCATATTGCCACGATTATCACTGTAGCATATTGCCACGATTATCCCTGTAGCATATTGCCACGATTAGCACTGTAGCATATTGCCACGATTATTACTGTAGCATATTGCCACGGATACTTTTGGAAACTGCTAGAATGTTACACCATACCACCAAAAATACTATATCGTACTGAAGATATTTCTCCTGTTTCAGTGTGATATCTACTTTGCCTCCTCGGCGGCTATGACGAATACACCGACTGAGAAGTGTAGAGAGAAGGAGAATTCCTTCTCCCCTCCTCCTTCTCCTTCCTGTGAGTCTTTTTCAATAATGGTCACATCAAGAATAGACAAGAAATCGAAATTATTATTGTTTATCGTGTACGGAATGTACATTGCCTGAAGCGATCGTATAATCCTTGATTTCGTCCGCATAGAATATGGTCAAGGAAGAACGAAGTTGGCGTAAATGTAGAAGTGATTCTGTACTTATGTTGGAATTTTACATTAAATCACATGAAGATTACTTGATAAATAAGGAAATATTTCAAAGTATTCGAACATAAGGATACATGATATTGTAGATACAGATTTACTGAACTAAAAGCGTTAGGGATCATGAAACTTTTTGATACTTTTTGATTCCATATTCACATAAACATCCTTAAAATATTTATGATCCCTAATACATTTCGTTCAGTATAGTTAACGTCGAAACACCTACTTCTCAATGGATAATGCAGTATATTAAAACATGTCTTATGGATTGATGAGCCGATATTGCCTTCAAACAATGGCTTCCACTCTTAATACATCTGATTGGTCATAAGACTGCTTAATCACATGAAAAACATCGCACATCTTCTCACATGTTTCTTGCATGAATATGGCGTCTCTCGTGACGCTGTAAGTTTTATGAGTCGTACTTAATGAAAGAAATACATTCACTGCTCGATCATAGCATCTCAAACAATTGCAGCGAAAACCGGCCCTGCGATGAACATCTATAAAATCCCGCTGACCTGTCTGGCTGGACAGATGACCACTGACCGGGTAGTGACCGCCACGACAACACCTCAACAATCCACACTACTGGCCCCCATCGTCAGCAATGGGGAACGTTCTCCTGGCATACCCAAACGAAGTCCGCTTATACGAACGAAACGACAGCATTCAAGTCTACCGTCGGAGAAAGTGAGCACTGGCCTTCGTGTTGTACCTATGTCATACATTCACTGTAGTCGGGATGATTCACTGTTGCAGACATTGATCGTTAAACTTTGTTCTTATAAAGGCCATTTATTCCGGATATTGACTTCAGAAAAGTGATTGATTATATAATATGTCATTATATATCTCGTTATTCCCCTCGAAAGAATGTCCAAAACGGTAAGGTAAAGATCCAATGGCTTAAAGGTGGTTGAATGGAGTTGTAACACTGCGTTTAAGGTTATAGCGCTAACACATCGACGTGTGTGTGTTTGCGCGTGTCTATATGAGTGTCTTGTCAGTCTGTCTGAGTGTGTGTGTGTGCGTCCATATGAGAGTCTGTGAGTCTGTCTGAACTGCACGCGCGCATGTGTGTGCATCTATATGAGTGACTATGAGTCTGTCTGAACTGTGTGTCTGTGGATCATTTCCTTTTTATTCTCTTAATGGTTTCGGTACAAGGGACGGAAATCAGTTTTTTTTCATTTTTGATGTCAATGGATAATACAAAGAACACAACTTTACCTTTTTGGATTAAAAAGTAAAAATACTTGATTCCAAATATCAGTCACATTTTAGGAATTGTTTTACCGCGGTTTTTAATGTATGTCTTGCTTAAGTGACTTCATTGGGTCACGTTTATGACATGTCATCGTACCCGAAGAGTCGCTCATGATATCAAACACTGGTTTGTCTGGTCGAGGCTTGAGAGTAAACACTTCCAAACTTAAAAACTATGTGTTTCTTCAGTTATTATGACAACATATAATCATGTCTTCCTCCTGTTGTCATAGAAATATTTTGAATGTTTCCCATCAAATGACAAAATAATGAACTGTGTTTCTTTGTAGTGAAAAGATTTAGAGTTTCTCGTGTGGTAATAATATAGCCATGTTTTGAAATGTCCCTTTTTCATTGTATTAACAGAATAGTGAGATATATATTGCCCATTCTAATCACAAGATGATTTTTAAATGTGTTTCTCCCATAATGATAATTTTTAGTAAATATTCCCATTATCACAACAAAATTTGCAGTAGATATTCCCATTATCACAACACAATTTGCAGTAGATATTCTCATTATCAAAACACAATTTTCACAAATACTTCACATGATTCATATAAGAGGGCTTTGAATTTGTCTTCTCATAATTCAATCACAAGGTTTTTAAATGTATACCTATTGGTGTTATAACTTCTCTCATGCTGTCAACAAGTATGCAAGTCCAAGTGTATAAACACGGTTTTTAAATAACCCTTGTAATAACACTTTTCTGAAAGAACTTTCCCATTTGTAATAACACGGTTAAGAGATTAGCTTTCCCCTTGTAATAACAAGCTGAAAAAGCTTTCCCCAATGTAATAAAACAATTCTGAAATAGCTTTCCCATTGTTATAACACAGTTTTGAAATAACTCTCCCATTGTTATCAGACGGTTTTGTATTATATCCCTCCCGATGTGATGAAACAAAGACTTGATGCAATATTGAAGTGCAGCATGCTTATCTCTCTGTGCAGGAGAAGGACCGCCATGACTCGTCCAGCTCAGACTCGGGGATCACCATCTTGCGGGCTAGTGAGTTTAGTCCACCTTCAAGTCCCTTTGCCTGTGCCCACACTTCCGTGGACTACTCCGAGCCTGAAACGGACCTGCTGTGAGAGGACATTGACATCGTGTCATGTATATAGACATGGGAGTGCCCGACAGCTGGCGATACCAAGGACGGACATGTACAACACAAGCTGGAAATGTACACGGTGTCAAATGAAATGTACAGCGCAGTGTCAGAAACGTATGTCTGTGTCAGTTTGCATGTGAAAGCATGTACATGACATGCGCGTGTCTGTGAAAGAGGGTGATACATGAATGAAATGCTGTTTGAGGATTTATTAACAAGGGAAACGGTTCATTCTCATCTTCATGTAACATGCTGAAATAACACGTTGTGATTCTTGGTTCAGAACTGTAATGTTCCTACTCGGATACAGATTAAACAAATTCGTTAAGCCAAAGCAATGCAAAGATGTGAAACATGGCAGTTGAACGTCTCCGGAGAACGTGTCGATTTGAAGGGCATGAGATGTTCTTTTCTGGAGCAAGACAATGATTTGCAGGGCATGAGATGTGCCTCTCTGGAGCAAGGCAATGATTTGAAGGACCGAGATGTGTCTTTATGGCACACTCCAATGATTTGATAAGGTATGAAATGTGCTTCTCTTGAGCACGTTATAGATTTGAAGGGCATGAGATGTATTTCTCTGGATCAAGAGAGTGATTTGAAGGGAGTGACGAATACTTCTGTGGAGCACGACAATGATTCTCTTGAGGAAGTTTATGTTTTGAAAAGACACGAGATGAGCAAGTTATTGATTTGAAGGGTATGAGATCTGCTTCTTTGGAGCAAAATGCTTATCTTAACAGCACGAGGTACGCTTCTCTGAGTTAAAGCACACATGAGAATGATACATGAGTGATCTCTGGTCATCTAAGATGAGGCACTGATAAGGAATGATGTCTCTGAGACATGGCAACAAGTTACCCAGGAGAACGGCAAACACCAACATGACATTTGATCTTTCCTTACTTACAGATACAGAAAGTCTTCTTGTGCGTGATGTACATGAACGAATTGTTGGTGATGTGATTGCCTGTTGTATGGACGTGAAATCTGCTACCATCTTCCACAACTCGAGATAACTCTTTGACGATCACCTGGACCAAAGGTGCATAAATTCACACAATGGAAATCCGATTCCTTAACTCCTGGAAAGCACACCCCGTATATCGGAATACATGTAACAATGTGTTACTTCATACCTACATTCGTTAATCCGTGAATGTGCTCATTTGGACGATCTCAGAAGGAAAGATATCGTCAGGGTTCGTTGTGATTTGTGGTGAAGGATATATGGATATTTCTCTGCTGAGACCATTAGTTCTCATGTACCATCATGCCATCAAACCAAATAGTGGCTACGAAGAAGACATTTGACTTGATGGATAACTGCCGTTTCTGCAATGGGTTGAAATAAGCAAGTGTCTACGATTTTGTGTGATGGAAAGACTGACGAACTCCTACAAAAACAATGTGCATCTTGAATAACATTCCACGAGTTATCATCACAGAAAAACAAAACTTCTGACAGCAATGAAACTATCAGTCTCCATTCATAATGATAATTATCTGAGGAAGCCTGGAGCGTTACACCAGTATTTCTTTTATTCCAGTTACATTATATATTTTGACCAATGTACAAATGGCTGTATTTTGAAATTAACCGTTCCCAGGTGGCATTGATATTTCAAATGTTAGTTACTGAATACCTAACTTATGTTGATAGATAGCCTTTGGTGATGGTATATATTACAGGCTGGTAATGAATCACTGTTACATCATTTATATATCTTAGTGCTATGGTTACTACTGCAACTACTACTCCTTCTACTGCTGCTGCTAATACTTCTACTGCCATAACCACCACCACCACTACTACTACTACTACTACTACTACTACTACTACTACTACTACTACTACTACAAATACTACTACCATCTCATACACTTCTGTATATCATTTTTTAAATTTTTTTATTCAACAGTCATTATTGTAAACCAAACACAGAGAAGTCAAACACTGTTTCCTGGCCGCATGGTTACCCTTTTAGGAGAGTCTGCTGAATAACCTGTTTACAACGTGTGGTTATTTAGCGCTCCTGGACTTATTGGTGTCAGTGAGATCATAAGGCATACATCACAGTGCAATATATGTCATGAACCATAGCTTAGCTTCCGTTACGCCAGTGTTGTAATGCGAGTATTGTCTCGCTGAAATCTATATATTAAATCACTGAAATCTACATTTCGATGAGTGAAATCTACATCTTACTCACTGAAATCTACACTTTACGCCCCGAGATCTATATTTTCATTTTCGACATAAATGTTCACTTCCTGGATATACGGTCTGACCCTTGGGCCAACGAATGTCACGCCCTACCCGTAATACACACACATGCACACGCTGACGCGTACACACACACAAGAAAGGATCACATGGCCAAAATTGAATAAGAATGCATATATCTGTGTATTATATGAACTCGTATGTCTAACCTAACGCGGCCCTGCTTCTAGTCTATCAGTACAATCTGTTGGCCGACCAGAGGCTAATACCTACCCGTTCATTGACAAATTTATCTGTGAATGTTTACTTACTGATGTGACAGACTCACATGTTCACCTTTGACATTTCTCACTAAAATTACCAACAATTGTCATCTACTGTATTATATCGTCATGATGTCATTATAAATACCTTGAACGAATACCTAGAATACAGCTTCATTTTTGTGAAATTTTAAAGGAAGTGGCGCTAAAAAAAAGCTGTCCAATCTTTAAATTCATTTGCCAGAGAATTTTTTTGTGAAGGGAAATTGAGATTTGACGTCATGTCCCGAAAAAACCTGCAGCCAGCGGGACCAGAGTATATGTCATACTGGAGTGGAGGTGTGTTGTAAGTCGTACATCAATTAGGTGTTTGATATACTGCTGATCTATTCTCATTTAGGCCATTAGGTTGAATAAATCATAGTTAATCGCTGTTTTTGTTACAGAGATTCTGATATATTCGTAAGGTATAGATACGACGTGTATAGTTTATCATCTGATATGTTTAACAGTGTTTGGAATAAATAGTGTTATATGTAAGTGAGATAATATAAGCGTGTTAATAACACTGTGTATCATGTAGGTCAATATCATGTTTCATAATTGTGGTGACCTTGATGATCATCCTTCATCCTGGCTTTACCTGCACACTACCTGTTCAGTGAAGATCTACAGCTGTCACGTTTTGTCGGGACTCGGGGCTCGGGGCCAGTCCTCGCCTCAAGGAATGTCAGGTTTCAGGGAATTTGAGAACGACGTTAATTTGAAACGGCTGAATGTTCGCATGTTTATTTAAAATATACACCCGAGCAAGTATTCAGAGGTTTCAAGTCTGTTGAAAGGCAATAGCTGTATAAACCTTTCCTTGGGTCTGTTTGTTTGTCCTCAACAATATGTATTACAATGTTCTGTGGCACCACTCAGGCACCTGTTCTTGTCAATGATGGTCATTGGGAATGTTATTTGGTTGGTCATGTCCATTTGTTTTGTTTTGTTTCTGACCATTGGGAATCGACATGTAGGGAAGGGTGGCACTCACGATCCAGTTGTTTGTGGCTCCTTACGGTTCTTAGCTGCCCATGGATCCATTGGTGGTCGTTTCCAATCAGCATTCGTAGGTTACACCAAAGGGGTTAAGTCTTTAATCGGTGAATCTCAATCCAGCGATTGTTGTTTCCAATCCAACATTCGTCATGATGTATGTTGGGTACACCAAAATGATATGGTTAAAGGCTTTACTCGTTGAATCTCAATCCAGCGATTGTTGTTTCCAATCCAACATCCGTCATGATGTATGTAGGTCACACCAAAGTGGTTAAAGTCACGACGTCAACATCCGCGAGTTCCACTGTACGGGCAGTGGGTTTGAATACCCGTTTCGTCTGGTTCGTCCTTAGTTAACTCGTGAGTTAAATAATGTCTCAAACGTCGAAGACTTGCATCACTTTGGACATCCCACATACGACCTGAATACTTCAGGGGCGGTGGGGTAGCCTAGTGGTTAAAGCGTTCGCTCGTCACGCCGAAGACCCGGGTTCGATTCCCCACACGGGTACAATGTGTGAAGCCCATTTCTGGTGTCCCCCGCCGTGATATTGCTGGAATATTGCTAAAAGCGGCGTAAAACCATACTCACTCACTCACTAACTGGATACAGTTCAAAGCTGCTTCAATACCAACTCACTCACTCACTCACTTGGTGTAAGGCAAATGCTGATGGTTATGATGAGAATGTTTCCTTGATAATTATAAACATTGTTATAAATAGACATATATGAAATGTACCAATGACATTGGGTTTACGTTTGTGACATTGTTTATGTTTTATTGTACGTGAAGGATCAGTGTTGAATCTAAACATCACAGTCCGGGGTTTCAATTTGAACACGATTTTAGCTCAAAGCACACTGTGTTTGTTAAACGTATGCACTGTGGCAAAACTGTCGCGTGTTTCCATAATTAATAATACAAATATATTTGTTTTGTGTTTGTTTGTTCGTTCAACACGCAAAACTTCAGCTGTGATGGCAACCGATATCTTTTCATTTTTCTCTGCAGTACGTTTTGTACATATGAAAACCCAAACGCATTGATAAAAGTAGAATAATGTAATTATAACGATAGAAATGTGTCAGCACTCATAAGAAGTGTATTGTAAGATTCTGACTAAATATTTGTTCACTTTAAAAATATTTTGAAAGAATATGGGGCACGTTCGTAACCGATGATCCTGTTAGCCCCGATAACGGTTTTGGTTTGAATGCACCATACACCTACTGGTGGGTTCCGGCAAAGTGGGGGCGGTGGGGTAGCCTAGTGGTTAAAGCGTTCGCTCGTCACGCCGACGCCCCGGGTTCGATTCCCCACATGGGTACAATGTATGAGGCCCATTTCTGGTGTCCCCCGCAGTGCTATTGCTGGAATTTTGCTAAAAGCGGCGTCAAACCAAATTCACTCACTCACTCCACTAATAACGTCTAACACCTGTATCAGTTCGGGCTTAACTCCAATTTGATGCTGACATGCCGTAATATATCAGGAATGTCGCTGAAAGCAGCGTTAAACCCATCTCACTCACTCACTCACACTTAAATACGTTCTGTTTAATGGTAAAGGTTATTATCATAGAAACCTAACGTATCCGAGCTCATTCTAACATATATGTACTCGAAAAGAACATTTTCCAACAGTATTCGTTAAGCCACAAAAAGCCATCTTTAATCACTCGGACACCTGAAAAATGCTTTGTTCACTGTGTCCATGTATCTATACCTGTACGTATCTAGCATGATTGACAGGTTGTTATATAGGCGTTCTGTGTCTGTTACCGTTTCAAAGTACTGATATATATATAGATATATACAACAATGTATGTATATCTGCTGACAGATGTTGATGTCCTAGCAGTACATTGCTGAATAACATGGGTACCCGATATAATCTGTATGTAGGGCATCAACCAATTCCCATTCTGAACATTCTAGACCAACTTAAAAAATGTTGAAGTAAATCAGTAGGACAAAGAAGTGACTTTGACCATTCCCATATATTATATAGTATGACCAGAAATTATTGAGAATTTTAGGAATATGTTTAATTGGATTTTAGTATAAACAACCTTGACCAGCTATCAAGTGCTTGGTTTCATTCAAGAGAGACAACTCCGTTAATCCTTTTTCAATAGTTTGTGAAGAGCTACCCCCCTTTGTTTATATTATATTTATTGTTTGTTTGAGGATGTTCTTGACGAAAGATGTTATGTGTTCTCTTCGTAGTGATTCTGTAACACATATGCTCTTTTCTTAAACAAAAAATCAAACTCATGTTTTACTGACAAAATACACATGCTGTAATTTGTAGGAAGACAATGACACAGTGTCTTTTTGTCTTTTTAAAAGATTTGATTGAGCTCCTGTTCATGTTGTAAATTGATCTATGATTGAGCTTCCAAAACATTAGCTCCTATACATTAAAATCAGAGCCTCATTTCCAATTAAATAATGCGTTGCTGCGTCAAACGGGAGCACATGTAACTCATGGAAATCCTGTTTTCTGAATGTACCAAGCTGTCTTAAATTTTATCGTTTTCGTTGGGAACCATTCTCGAGTCTGTTAAAGCACACGTTCCTTAGAGTTAGATCTGTGATCTACGCTCCATGCTTCAGTGTACATGTTTGGTCCTCACTGTGAGAATATATTGTAGTCATCATGGTCGCAGTTTCGTTCGTACGTATTTGTTGAAATTACTATGGTGTTTATATTGAGATAATATATCACAATAATAGGGATGATAAAAGTGTTGATAATATCAAACAAATGTTATTACATAGATTCAAGAATGGACCGTGAGAGCATCACGACACGATCGCGTTACAATTTGAAAGTTGCGTGGAAGATATTGTAAAGGATGTTTGAGTTCTGTGTAATTAATGTAATTACCAAATCACGGGACGTTTTTATATTTTTTGTCAATCACCTTTTTAAAATAAAATTATATTTTCAAACAATTCGATCATGTTCATAAGTTGTTGAATATTCGGGAATAGAATATTTAGATATTTGTAACAGATAAATTTTACGTTCTTCTTGCATAGGTTCTGTATTATATAATCCCACTGGGGGTGCTCAAATCAGTGGATATATAGATTGAAAAGTTTAATAAATATTATATAGAAATTCATATACAAAATGGTGCAATAACGCTCATCTAAAGAACATAATAGCATATTGTACAAAATGATTTGTTATAATAGCATGCCTACGCTTGAGTGGCCGAACTGTCAATCACATGTACATTTCACTTTGTGTCGATAAACGGTGTTTATTAAGCGTGATATGTGACAAGCAATCAGCATGTTTATATCGTGTTTATCGACCCGTTCACATGCACATCGAGTCATTATCGCTGTAAATGTTTCCACATAGAGAAATTTATATTTTCAACATTCCATGTTGTTGTATATACGCAAACTCGTTCGTTATGGACACAATTCTATTTTACACCAATTTGTTTATACAACAGAAATAAAAACAGTCTGAAAAGAGGTGTTTGGATTGTGTTTCAAAAGGATTAAGAGTGTGCATCCCCAAAACAAGGGATGCATGTGAATAAGTGTACGTGATAACCGTGCAGATCCGAGTTCGGATTGATCTTCAGTAACCCGTGCTTGTCGCGATCGTAAGAGGCGACTAACGGGATCGGGTGGTCAGGATCGCTGACTTGGTTGATACATGTCATCGGTTACCAATTGCGCAGATCGATGCTCATGCTGTTGATCACTGGATTGTCTGGTCCAGACTCGATTATTTACAGACCGCCTCCATATAGCTGGAATATTGCTCACTCACTAAATCATCATGGCTATATGTTCATAAGAGTAAATGAATGATATTTTCTGTAATGTATAGATGACGTTTCAGAGTATATTATATTCTTACTCCTTCCGATGAATCATCACCAGGTGGTGGACAGCCATATATGTACACGTGAAACACCAAGAGTGATGAGATATTATTTGTTTTGTTTGGCTGGTTTTATTTTGTTAAAGACGCACTATCAATACTAAAACGAGGCACGTCATCGATAATATATGTAAAATTTATTTCAAATGGCCCTTTTTTACATTTTTGAATGATTGAACAGCGAGAACGTGAAACACAAAAATCGCAGGATCATTTGTATTTTTAACATTTTAACGATTGTAATAGTCATATCACGTCCACAACATTTTACGCTCAATTCTCTTTGCCCAACTAGCTGATTACATGCAACATAACGTACTAGTATATAAACTATTTTGGAATGACATATAAGAATAAATAAACAATTATTTCATTAGTCTACAGTTGGGCTATTTAAAATATAACCACAAACGATACATTAGCCTACATTAAATGAAAAAATACAATAATCTCTTTTAAAATAATCGCCA